ACACGGCTCAGGACACCCACTCAGGTGGCTCATCTGAAGGCATGGCAACTCTGTGGAGATTGATATCCAGGTTCAGTTTATCTCATGTCAGAAGCTTTTAAATGAGCAGTAAAACGTTTTCAATCATCTGATAACGCGTCCAGAAGATTGATTCAAACTTTGCGAGACATATTAGGACCCAGATGACTGCCGATGTCTCCCAGGTGAATGTGAGTTTAGTACGTGGAGGCATCAATGAGCCATGTGGTAAACACACAGAGGGGCAGCTCTGCTGTGATCACCCCCTCCTAGTGTGTGTTATACTGTTTGCCGTCCTTTGTTATCTCAGTATGAGCAAGGAGTAAGCCAGGAGTGTTGTATATATGTGTGTTGGGCAATTTGCTGTTATTTATGAAATTTGTGCATATGTGAGGAAATTCTGGCGCCTAGTTGTCATTTTGTTGAAAATATGTGAAGGTTGGAAACCTTTTAAGCTGTGAACCACTCCTACTGCAGTGCCATATGTCAGCATCGCAGCAAAGAGTGATGGAGACTTTAATTAGCCTGATTCATCCTGTCATTTTTTTTTTTTTTGAGCTACACATGGCAGACATGTTTTGGGGATTTTTTTTATCAGATGATTAAAGTCTGTTCACTTTATGTTGATTTCTTCTATCAGCAAGGAATAAAAGGAAGCCACACTCCTATTCCTTTTTTTATAAATCGCAAATTAGAGATCTGTCAGTGTAAATTTTTTATGTAGTTTCAAACTTATATACTACAGTATATGACATCTAAAATACAGAAATGCTAATTTACATTGTATGAGGTATTGTATTTTAAATGTTGCATAATTCATATAGCCATTCAATGGTGTTTCCCCCAGTTCACATATATGGCTTCCACCTTTACTCTCTCAAACTATGCCTTTTTTTTTTATTCCAATGGATTAAAGAAAATAAGAACAGTAAGATTTTTATCTAACTGGCTATTGTAATCTAATTAGTTGTTTACAAACACTCATATTTTGCCCCCATTTCATATATTTTTTGGTAACTTACAGATGTATTTTAATTCTTTTTTTAACTATGGTATTTAAACAAATAATATGTTTGAGTTTGCTGTCAATTTTCTTTATTCTATCTATTATCTACATTATACATACTCAAATTTAGTCATACACTATATTGCCAAAAGTATTTGCTCACCCATCCAAATTATTGGAATCAGGTGTTCCAATCACTTCCATGGCCACAGGTGTATAAATTCAAGCACCTAGGCATGCAGACTGTTTTTACAAACATTTGTGAAAGAATGGGTCGCTCTCAGGAGCTCAGTGAATTCCAGCGTGGAACTGTGATAGGATGCCACCTGTGCAACAAATCCAGTCGTGAAATTTCCTCGCTCCTAAATATTCCACAGTCAACTGTCAGCTGTATTATAAGAAAATGGAAGTGTTTGGGAACGACAGCAACTCAGCCACGAAGAGGTAGGCCACGTAAACTGACGGAGCGGGGTCAGCGGATGCTGACGCGCATAGTGCGAAGAGGTCGCCAACTTTCTGCAGAGTCAATCACTACAGACCTCCAAACTTCATGTGGCCTTCAGATTAGCTCAAGAACAGTGCGCAGAGAGCTTCATGGAATGGGTTTCCATGGTCGAGCAGCTGCATCCAAGCCATACATCACCAAGTGCAATGCAAAGCGTCGGATGCGGTGGTGTAAAGCACGCCGCCACTGGACTCTAGAGCAGTGGAGACGCGTTCTCTGGAGTGACGAATCGCGCTTCTCCATCTGGCAATCTGATGGACGGGTCTGGGTTTGGCGGTTGCCAGGAGAACGGTACTTGTCTGACTGCATTGTGCCAAGTGTAAAGTTTGGTGGAGGGGGGATTATGGTGTGGGGTTGTTTTTCAGGAGCTGGGCTTGGCCCCTTAGTTCCAGTGAAAGGAACTCTGAATGCTTCAGCATACCAAGACATTTTGGACAATTCCATGCTCCCAACTTTGTGGGAACAGTTTGGAGCTGGCCCCTTCCTCTTCCAACATGACTGTGCACCAGTGCACAAAGCAAGGTCCATAAAGACATGGATGACAGAGTCTGGTGTGGATGAACTTGACTGGCCTGCACAGAGTCCTGACCTCAACCCGATAGAACACCTTTGGGATGAATTAGAGCGGAGACTGAGAGCCAGGCCTTCTCGTCCAACATCAGTGTGCGACCTCACAAATGCGCTTCTGGAAGAATGGTCAAAAATTCCCATAAACACACTCCTAAACCTTGTGGACAGCCTTCCCAGAAGAGTTGAAGCTGTTCTAGCTGCAAAGGGTGGACCGACGTCATATTGAACCCTATGGATTAGGAACGGGATGTCACTTAAGCTCATATGTGAGTCAAGGCAGGTGAGCAAATACTTTTGGCAATATAGTGTATGTGATTAAATTTCCCTTTGCTAGTTTTATATTTGTGCAGATCTTAACAAGTTCCTGGTTTAATTTTCAATAGACAAATGGTGGAAATTTTTTCTTTAGGTGCAACCTTACGTTTTGGACTAAACTGAGGTCTGGGCACTTTGAAAGGCTTCATGTTTGCCTCTTTTGTTTAGCTCGAAAATAGTTTTATTGTGTGGTTAGGAATATTGTTCTGTTAGAACAGTTAAATGTGAACAAATATCAACCATTTCACCTAAACTTACATAAAACCAATATATCGCACCTTTCCAGTGTCTAGCTGTTGATTTAAGGTTAAAGTAAAAATGTGTTGTTGCAGTGCATCAGTTCCCTCAGCAGTGAATCGGATCGTTGTGATTCCAACTCTACCTTGCTGGACAGTTGGTACAATATGCCTAGTTTTAAAAGCATCAGCTCAACTAAATTTATAATAGACTTGAGTAGTCGCTGGGTAACGTCCACAACTCCAACCGATTTCCTTTCGAAGGGAACATTATAGTTTGCGTAAACATTTTAAAATCTTTAAAATAGGTGTTCTAATAAGACGACTAATAAAAAAATAAGACATCATGCATATTCTGTTAGCCTAACAGCTACTTTTGAACATATTTGAGAAACCTGTCTGTTGGAGGATAGTGAGTCAGTGCTATGAAAATATTATTTTCACGGCTGTACTTGCATTTGTTTGAAGTTGCGTTATTCAAGATGGGCACCGCGCCAGCAAAACTCCGCCTGCCTCACATGCTTCATACACTGCAAGAGTGGACTCACATGGAGTCATGTGTGCTTCCATCCAGCTGACCTCATTGGTTCAGTCTGCAGACAGAGCTGACCATTTGGAGGAGGGAGGAAAAATTTACAAATCCACTGTGGCCTCTGACCACCAACAGCATGTAAAAAGGGTGTGAAGTGTCTTGCCTAAGAACATAACAACGGAGACAGGGAGCAGGGGATCAAACTGGCAACCCAGCAGTTACAGAACGAACCCCTACATCCACCATTGACACAAAAATATTTATGAATAGAAGAAAGAGAAAGAATCAGGAGTGGGAGAGGAGAAAGAGATGAGTAAAGTGGAGCAGAAAATTTTAGGTATTTTCTTCTTAGCAACAATGTAATCTATTAAGGTAGTATCACACAAGGTGTCGCCTCGCACGGATTACAGAAAATGTACAAGAAATTCTGCTCCAATTTCGACAGTTCGAAAAAAATGCTGAATCTGTATGTGAGATCATAAGTGCTTTAAAAATGAAATAGTTCTAATGCTTCTTCGAAAGCCTCAAACTAATCCATTTCACATTGAAGATGAACATAAATGAACTCCTCACCTGTACTAGAACTTTTTTGATTTGCTTTATTGTTAAAATCTACATCTATAACTGCAGGCAAAAAATACCTTCAAACAAAAACTGACCCTGCACAAAAAACCGGAATATAGAAAATGGTTGGATGGTTGAATGAACACAATAAAACTTTTTTATAATGTATATTTCTTGCTATAAATATAACATGAAATTACATATTGCATTAAAGATGAGTGGGCCTTTTTAGCTCTCAAAGAAATCTATAGAGAGAAACAACCTTGTAGAATGTTGCCATTGACCTTCTTATAGCCATATATCCTTGGCAATGTTCACATTTAATCCTCTACAGGTTAGCCTTTGGGGCTAAAGTGAGACAGAGGAGGAGGAAGTGAAGGGGAGGGAAGATATGTGTGCAGTGAAAGGGATACAGCATCAAATATGTGTAATTAATCATGTAGGGAATTGTTTTATTGTTGTTTATATATGTTCGTTGACAACATAGCTACAGATTTACATCTGAATGCAGTTAATGATAGCTCTGAAGGTCTAGAGATTGTTTAAGACGAAGAAGCTTAAACCAGATTAAGAAAAACCAGAGCCTTTTGCCTCTGGGGAGGTTGTCTAATGCTGCCTGCCACAAAACCCTAATCGGTAAATTTATGGTTTTAGCAAAGAAATATCTTGCCAGTATATGCATGCCAAGGTTTTAATTGATGGCTACAAAAAAATACTGAAGAGTGGTGTATCTGTATTAGTGATACAACTCTCAACTGATACAGACCTGCATGTTTTCCCCCTAAGAAATAAGAGACTGATCAATGCGGCTGATTCTGCCCTGCATATCTCTCCCAATTGAGTCAAGAAAGAGAAATAAAGTATTCCCGCATATCCATATGTTCCAAAATGTATGTCCAGTTTTGTAAACATAAGCATTTTACACAAGCTGACAACTTTAATTCCCGAAAACCAAGTGACTCACTGCGCAAAGACAGGAGAAGCTGGGTGATTTTTGCATAATAAAAAAGGTGATGTTTTGACTATTAAGTGTTGCTGATATGTAATTTTGTGCCAATAGTCTGCTTCTAATAGAAGTTGACACTGCAGCTTAATAAGATGTAAATTAGCCATTACAGGTTAATTTTATCGTGAGAAGGTCAACCACAGACAGCGACTTGGAATAATAATTTTGTCCCCATTCAATAGTTGTTAACTCATCTCTTTATCTGGCCTTCCCCCTCCATATTTTTCATGTCCTTTTTTTCTCTGCAGTCCTCTTCGGTCAGTTTGTGCTGTTCCAGACATCTCTAAATGATGTTGTGGAGATCTATGATGGACCCACCCAACAAAACACACTATTGTCCTCTCTCTCTGGTTCCCACTCTGGTAAGGGCATGTAATAAAACTGATTTTCAGCCTGAGCAATGATTACAGTTTTGACTATCTGTTTTTATATTGTTTTTTTTTTTAATCTTATTTCTTTAGGTGAATCTTTGCCTCTAAGTTCAGGAAGTCAGATAACTGTAAAGTTTACAACAGTGGGACCAGAAACTGCCAAGGGATTCCATTTTGTCTACCAAGGTTTGAGTTTATTTCTTTATTGTTGTTGGTTATTTTTCATCTAACTTCTATTTAAACCAATGTACAGGAGGCTGAAAAAGGTTTGATCATGACCCTGCTATTGAAATCCCTTTGGGACTTTATGATCTTTTTTCTTAACTTGTAAAAGAAAAATAAAATACTATAGTTGTGACTGAATAGGAGAATAGAAATTCAACTGGCACTTTCTTATGTACATTCTGTCTGTAGACAGACAGCAGTGGAGGAAGGTTGATTTTCTGTCTGATGTGCTATGTTTGTTTAATTCGGTCACATAGGTTTAGATTAAGCAGATGAAACCCCCAATGATAAGCTGGCTTTAAAGAGGGAACAACGTCTTATACTGAAATAAAGTTCCTTTGGGCCTTTGGGAGTACCCCCACAGTTCCATTATACATTGTATGGATTGTAAATAATTTAGAAATTACACTGCTTCAGTGAAAAATATAATGCATTATCTTATAGATCTCTACCACAAGCTTTTTTTTGTGTGTGGCTATAGGCAGTAAACAATGACCAATGACATTTTTAATCCTCTGAACTATAGTGTATTAATACAAAAATGATATCACTCTTGTCTCTAGCTGTACCTAGGACCAGCTCCACTCAGTGCAGCTCAGTTCCAGAGCCACGCTTTGGGAAACGTCTCGGTAATGACTTTGCAGTCGGCTCCTTGGTGCAGTTTGAGTGCAACCCTGGCTATGTTCTCCATGGCTCCACTGCCATCCGATGCGAGAGTGTACCTGACAACCTTGCTCAGTGGAATGACACCCTGCCAACATGCATAGGTACAGAGCAATTCAGACATTAAAGAACAGTAACAGCTGCAACCTTTATTTTGCAATTATTAGTTTTCCTACTATGCAGATGATAAAATTATCCATCATGTCATTAATTTTGGTGACTTGCCTATACATGTCTACACAACCTTTTTACTCTGTTCTCTTTTTTCACATCCCCCTTTCCTTCATCTTTGATAGTTCCCTGTGGTGGCATATTGACCTCTCGACGTGGGACTATCTTATCTCCAGGCTACCCAGAGCCATATGACAACAACCAGAACTGTGTATGGAAGGTGTCCGTTCCAGAAGGGGCCGGAATACAGGTTGTACCTGTCACACACCTCTTTCCCAGCTAACCTATCTATCATTGGCTTAAAAGCTGAGCAGGCAGGATCCCGGGAAGATAGGACATTATTAGTGCGATGAATGGATGGATGCTTTCTGAGAAAAGGGCCATCAGAGATAACTAGATAGGATCTAATCATGAAAGATAAGGCCTGATTGAATGTAAGCTAAACTGCTCTCACGGGCGAACAAAGGCAAAGTTGCCTCTTCTGAAAGTGGAGTCAGAGGATGTTGGCATACAGCTCACATTTAGTCTTTCACTTTGAATTACCATGACCTTTTAAATATCCCTCCTTTGTACTAATTAGAATAGCAATACAATTATTTACACACAATGGGAATTGAAGATCATTAATACATGTTTGCTTAAGAGACTAAAAGCCCAGTTATCAAGAAAAAAATGTGCCTTTTCTGTCTCTCCAGATACAAGTTATAAGTTTTGCAACTGAACATAACTGGGACTCACTAGACTTCTACGATGGAGCTGACAACCATGCACCAAGACTTGGCAGCTACTCTGGTAAGTAGTTTTTCAGTATGTTCTATTGCTAAAACAATGATTGTTGACAATTAAAAATGTATCTGAATTTAATTGCAAAGCTAGATTCAGAGGTAAAAAAAAAAAAAATAATAATTAATCCCTTGTCTTCATCAGGCCAGCAATAGTTAGACAAAATTTAAGTAAAAATTGTCATGCAGAGCATTTTCAACTAAGGCAGAGAAGGTAAAACAATATGTTTACACAGTCTTTTCTGAGGCAGAATGTTCTAATTACAGTTAATTAATCAATTGATTGCTTTTTTAAAATGTGTTTTGTCTTAATTAGATTTGGAAAATAGTCTTCAGTTCATGATTTTATTTGTAAAGAACACCTAAAATAAACACAATATTTTGTGAATGAAAGTCAACACAAAACAGTAAAGTAACCCAACTAACTAAGTGATCTGCTGCTAACTAATTACACTACTCTACTGCCAGCAGGAACATGATAGAAGTTAGCTGTTACTACTAGCTCTTCTACAATCAGGAAACCCAATAATATCCAGCTGCAGTTATCGACCTCGGCCAATAGGCGAGAAGCTGCAGCATTGATGCTGTTCCAAAGATGAGTGTGGCAGAACAAACAGATGGAAATAAATGGCTTTAGGTTAATCTGTTTATTGAGAGAATACTATGATATAATTAAGATGAGAAAATCAGTGAATGAAAATAAATAACTTCCTAAAAAAATAAAAAAATATATATATTTTAAAGGAAGCATAACATTTTAATTCTAAAATGTTGGTTGAAAGGAAAGAGCATATGAAAATAAGTATGGATGTTTGTGTGTGTGCGTGTGTACAAAGAAATAAAGAAAGAGGAATGGACTTAGTCACAGTTATTCTCAAAAATGTCTCTAATTTCCCAGCTAAAAATAAAAAGTGTTTATTTATAATGCCTTGTTTCTTGATTTCTTATGCTGTGAGGAGGTATTTAACATTATATTTAAATAACACATGAAAGACATTTTCGTAAGAGATTTTAGTACCTGAGTGGGTACAAGAGCTTTATTTAACCCTGTTTTTAAGTACCACTTACCACTTTGATTTACTATTTAGTGGTTTAATACTTAAAGTTGTTGTACCTACAGCACCAGCACTTCTCAAGAGAAGGTACTGGTAGCAAAGCCTGCATTAAAAAACATTCCTCCACACTTTTATTTCAAAATACACATCAAGAATAAGGAATTTCTTCAATCACAAAATAAAAACCAAAAGAAGAATAAAAAACTCAGAAGTGATTTCAGTTGTTGATATAAACAATATTCATATTGTATTAACCATTAACTTTAATTCCCCGCATAAAACAAAACTTTCTCCTCTCATTCTCGACCTAATATAAAGTTTTTTTCAGAGACCAAACAAGTGTTTGTACTGTAATGTGCTATTAGTTTGCTTTGCATGACTATCCACATTCCCTGACTACAGTCAAAGTGCCTTGGCTGTGCTGCTACTGCAGCAAATCATATTCACATTTTCTTGTGGGAAAAGTAGTCCTGCTTTTAGGGAAGTGGGGGTTACCTCTATGGTATTAATTAATCGTAAGCAGGGCTTGACTTCACTGTGACAAAATGCAGGGAAGATTATGAGATGAGGAATGAACTGACACCAAATAGATTCTATTTCCACATAAAAGTATCATTAATAAATAAATTCACGTGGAGGCATGATAAAACAATATTGATTTTAAATTTTGTTCTTAATTAATCCTGCCATACATCTCCGAATAAAAGACACTGTTAAATCAATGCAGTTAATTATAAAGCTATAAAATATTAATACCTGAATAATGACTAATAATGATTTTTTTCCATGTCACTGTAATGAATGAGGTTTCCCGTGGAACACAAAGCAAGCAGCAGCAGGGCTGTAGACTCATGAAAAGCCTGCTTATTAATTCCCCTCACAGCAGCCAGCCAGTAACATTCAGTGACCTAATTCAGTGTTCATTCAGGGGAAACTTTCAGCTTAGATATATTGTGATAACACACCTGGCACTAAAGTAAAACCTTGCGTATATCAAACAATAGCTTTTTTTTTTTTATATTGGGGAAACGGATATTTTATTACCTTATTTTGCTTCTAAAAAGTACTTCCTCATTGCTAAACAGTTCAAAACTAAGCTTAAACTCATTTAATTTAAAATGCATCATCTCATCCAACCATTGTGTGATGACATCTTTACTTCTGCAGTGAAGCAGATTTGTTCATCTTACTTTGTACTTTCCCTTGCCAGTGTATCTAGGTCAAGACAACATTTGAGCAGACGTTTCAAATAAAATAGATGCCTCAAATTAAAGTAATTCTGTTCTCCCCCCTTTGAGTACTTTTCTCTAAGAATAAATGTGGGTTTAGGAAGGCCTTTGTTGTTTCCTTGGCTTCAGATGAGATCAATTGCTTTCAAAATATTTGATTCTAATCCTCTTTCCCTGTCTTTCTGTCTCTGTTTCAGGCACAACTATTCCCCCTCTCCTGAATAGCACATCTAATAACCTCTATCTCAGCTTTAGCTCTGATATAAGCGTCTCAGCTGCTGGATTTCACTTGGAATATACAGGTACATTTAAAATTAAGTTGAATGATAGAAATACTGCATAAATATAGTGAACTATATCAAAGTATCAAAGCCAATGTTTCTAAATTAAAATATTTCTAACTGGGCTAACGAAAGAACACATAATCCACACATGTAAATGATGTTTTACACATTATGTCCATAAATCAAGTGATAATGCATTAGAATGATGTTGGGAAGGGATGAAGGTGCTTTCTAAAAGCATGTGGGTTTGGACTGTGCTTTTATTTCAACTCTCTTTAAATTGTAAAGCTTCTTGGCAGCCTGTGACCGGCCATTTTTTTGACTGATTCTTAATTAGATTCAAGCCGGGTGTTTTTGTGGACCATTGTTGTTTCTTTAAAAGAATTTACCCAGGCCTGAGCTTTGGACATTAGCTAAAAGTCGACCTTCAAGATGTTTCTAAGTAAACAGATCCACCGTCTTTCACTCCCAGCATCATTTATCCTCTAGATGCATGTTTGTTTAGACATTGAAGGAGTCTGATTTTGGTGCGTCTACTCTGTATTGTCCTTTTGCCTTCTGTAAATGTAATGCAGTGAACTTTAAACTCTTTCAACAGTGGAGTTTTTCAAACTGAGCTTACATAGAGATCATTGGGTTTGAGTAGATTACCATTTTTTTTTTCAGTAGAAAAACTTTACCTGATAATTTAAGTTGTTTATTTTTTAACAAACTCTGTCAGAGATCATTGGCTCTTGGAAAGCTCTGAGATGTGAAAAACACAATAAAAAATAAAATTGCCAAGGTCCTAGCAAAAGGTTTTGTTTTCCTCTAACCATTTTATTTTGCTTATTGTGTATTTTTGCTGGCAAGGATAAACTTTTACGGAATGTCTGTTCATTTATTACGAATTCGATTGCTGTTTTTTTTTTTTTTAAAGGCCCATTTCGTCCATGTTGATTGTTTTCTATGCATTCTTAACATAACTTTGTTAATGATTCTGCTTGTTATTCCCTCTTTTAATAACTTGATTTTTTTTTGCATTTTCTTCTTATGCTAATTCATTTTCAGCTTACGTGTGAATTGTCTGGGTTGTGGCTGATATTTGCTGTTTTCTCATTTCAGTTGCTCCATTAGAAACATAGTGAGAAAGATATAAAGATGTTAAACACTTTCTTTTTTTTCCCTTCTGTATACTGATAACTCAAAACCATGTTTATGTCAATTCTATTTTAGCCATTGGTTTGGAATCATGTCCAGAGCCCGTCACTCCAAACTATGGAATCAGACAAGGAGACAGATTCATGGTTGGGGATGTTGTACAGTTTTCATGTGAACAGGGATACTCTCTTCAGGTAAAAACTCTTCCAATGTGTCAAGTTGTGTAGATTATTCTTACAGAGGCTTTACACGTTTGAACAAAGTCATGTCATAACCAGCAAGCCCAATGGGCGGTATCCTTATTTTCATCATAAGTCAATTCAAACCAAATGCCAACACTGTAGGTAAAATCATGAAAGTCTGCTCAACTTATCTGATGTGCTGCCATTCATTCATTTTATATCCCTGGCATGGAAAAGCAACAACTATCTGAACTGAATCCAAAGGAAACCCTGCTGTCGTGTGGTTTCCCTTCATTTGCTAAACACACAAGTCTGGTGTGGTTTACACAACTGCTGAATTATAAATGTCTCTGGTGGGCTCTCCCCAATTTCTATGCAGTATGATGTAGAGTTCTGGTGAAGGATCGTGTGACTCACCCTTAATATAGTCCACAAAGTTCCCATTTCAGTATTCTGTAGATGCCTGTTATATAAAAATATGAACGGATTGTTTCATTATTTTAGGTTTTGTCTTTATTTTGTAACTCTTTGATATTGATAGATGTGGTTATATTTATACTTCCAGGGAAATGCACATATCACCTGTATGCCTGGACCTGTTAGAAGATGGAACTACCCGGTGCCGCTGTGTATCGGTACGTGTCCTCTGAGCATTTGTTGATGCACACCATGAAATGCCCCAGCTTTTATAAGATCATGAATCCTATCGATATGCAAACCTAAAAGTGGAGCTTCAGGAATTATGCAATCTGTCTTCACTTCTCTGTGACTCCTAGGGGGGAAAAGCTGTTTGAGATGTTACAACAGCTTTTTGTGCTTTCTGGTACTTCTGAACTAATGCTATTTCATAAACATGCAGAATATACTGCCACTTCAAAATATTCAGTGTGGATCCAATGCAGACCTGTTAAGAGCGTTTAACTAAGACTGAATGCTAAACAGCCATTGCCTTCTACTGTTTCTATCTTGATAGTATTACAGTAGTACATTCACAACCTATTCACAGTGATGCACTTTTTCCACATTTAGTTATTTTCCAGCTATATTCTAGATGGTTTTAAATTAATCTCTTCTAGGAATTCTTTTGTTTTTTTAGATTAAAACTATAATTCACATCGAAAACAAAGAAATCTCATTGACGTAAGCATTCACGGCCTTTGCCATAAAGCTCAATATTGAGTTCAATCCTGTTTCCAATGATCATCCTTGATGTATTGCTACAGTTTAACTGGTGTCCAACTGCTGTACATTCATTTGATTGGACCTGATTAGGAAAGGCTCATCCCAGTCTTAATAGGGTCCCACAGCCGACAGTGCATGTCAGAGTGCAAACACAAAGCATTCAGTCAAAGAAATTCTCAGTACCTCTGAGACAGGCTAGTCTTAATTCACCAATATGAGGAAGGACACAGAAAGAAATTCTGCTGCATTAAAGGCAATGTGCATTTGCATATTTATCATTAATAGAATAAAAAATCCTAGATCCTTAAGGACTCGAGGCGTACCAGCTATTTTAACAAGGCCATCATGTCACGAAGGTACATACACATACATATGTATACATATATATATGCATATAGTATACATAAAGGTGAGCATTTGTTTGTACATTTATTTCAGTTTTTTCTACATGTAACCAAGGTTCCTTCCTACCATTATGAGTAAATAGGGTTTACTGTGAGGGCAAATGGAGGGTTTTATGGAACAGAGCATTCTGTGCCACTGTAAACAGTTATTTTCACCCACTGCAGCAATTTGCAAATATGACATAAACAAATACAAAATGTATGTGATTTAGTTGATCCCACTCAGGCTCTGTTACCTGTAGTCAATTTTTAAGGCATTTTGTGATGGTGAAACAGCACAAAAATCCTCATGAGCTCCTGCTTGCTCCCATTTCTTCCCCTGGTTTCAAAATAAACCTACAGGACTGTGACATTATACATTTAGCATTTAAACTGAAGCCTACATACTTACTGTAGTTCTCGCTACGACGTATAAATATGTGCACTTTTGATCAACACATTTTGCCCTTCCACCAACACGGGTGTTGTGCTGGTTACAGCCTTAAATCCTAACTAAGACACTAACATAATTGTATCTGCTGCATATGCACAAATTAAACACATACCTCTTTAAACTGACATTGGATGGTATCATGTACATATGTCTTTATGTCAGTCACCAACAGATAAATATATCAAATTTCTGAGGAGAGCTGAACATCTAAAGAGATGTAGGTAAAACACGCTGTGTGTTTAGAATGGCTAATCACAGTCATGCCACTGCAGGTAGAGATTTATCCGGATAACGTGAGAAAGATAAACAAAGTGTGATACTCAGTGCATCAGCATTTAAGTTCTGTGTTCTTGTCACACAGCTCAATGTGGAGGTTCTATGAAGGATGTCAGTGGGGTGATTCTAAGCCCAGGTTATCCTGGTAACTATCCCAGCGGTTTGGACTGCACATGGACTGTTAACTTACCTGTTGGCTTTGGTAAGAATCCTCAATAGAGAAAAAAATGTATGAATCACAGTTTCTTCTTATTATTATTATTTTTTTTTTTTTGCGTAGTTTTGTTGTGATTGTGTAAAACACCTTTAATGTAGATGTTATGGTGTTTTTTTTTTAACTAACGTGTTTTTTTTTTTATTCCTCACAAAAGTCTATGGTTTCTCTTTTTTTATTGTCTGTCCTTTTTTTTTTATCCAGGTATTCATCTTCAGTTTTTAAACTTTTCCACGGAACAAATCCACGATTACCTGGAGATACGTAGTGGAACGCTGGAAACGGGTTCTGAGATTGGCCGGTTCAGCGGACCAGTTGTACCTAAGTCCCTGTTCAGCACCACCCACCAAACCAGCTTTTTTTTCCACAGTGACTATTCACAAAACAAACCGGGGTTCCACATCACATATCAAGGTAAATGTTGATTCTGGAAGTTCCTTTCCAATGCTCTGTTTACAGTCATCACTTCCTGAGCAAAGACAACAGAACCAGCCATCTCATTAACTGTGGCTTCATTCATCAGGCCAAGTGGGAAAAAAAAAATCTAGTGGGGTTAAAAGTATTTTGGGTGAGGGTGATTCAAAAACGAGCATATGAGACAAAACAATACAATGTGTAACTTGTTTTTTATATTTGGATAAATTATAGAGAGAAGTTTCAAATTCATAGCATCTGGCTTCAGAACGTTCTATTTATTATGACAAATCCTTTAGGCAGCCCAAATTTGTTGGCCTAATTCTCTTTATATGAAAATTACAGAGGATGATGAATAATGCCTTTTATCTGCTGATGGCACCATCAGAAATATGTGGAAAACGTTTTATGACTTCCTCTGCCTGTTGGGAAAAATAAGCTCTGTGTGCCAGACTTGTTTAACCGAGGCAACCAAGATGTGAAAAGTTGACAATCTAAATACTTGAAAAGTTTCAAAATTAGATGTGAAGGGATTCCAATTATTATTTTGGAGCAAAATAAATAGACCTATTGTGTTACGCTGCTGCAGAATGCACAAAAGTATACAGTCATTCTTTCACTTAATTGAAGACTGCTGTAAACCTCTCTGGAACAATCAACACACTTTTTTTGCTTTACTTTTATGAATGGCTTAGTTATTAGAAACTTTTAAGAATAGGACTTTGGATTAGTTGGATTTAATCTGTTTTTAAGACGCTGAAGGATTAAACTAAGGTTTCACTTTTAATTGTTTTTCCCTTCTAAGTGGTATGCCTTATTAGGTATTATGTCTAGCAGTAAAAGTGCATCCACTTTTGTTTTTTTTTGACACATTTTTTTGTTTCTAACCTCATGTTATGTAGCTGCAATTCAGATGATGGATCCTTTCTCAGAAAATAAACATATTACTCTTCTGTCTTTTGTCAAAATAATAGTAATTTACCAGCCATCACGTATTTCCATTCTTTTTTTCCCCCAGCCTACCAACTTCAGAGCTGTCCTGACCCACGGCCATTTCGAAACGGCATCGTAATAGGCACTGATTTCAGTGTGGGGATGACGGTGTCTTTTGAATGTCTGCCTGGATACTCTCTGATCGGAGAAGCTTCTCTGACATGTTTACACGGAATAAGCAGGAACTGGAACCACCCTTTACCACGGTGTCAGGGTAATTGACTGCACAGGTCAACTCTGAACCTGTTACTTTTTTTTCTTTGGTTCAAAGGGTGTTATAAGATATACCAGACATGAAAAAGCTCTGTGTGAGGTTGTGAAGGAAGTACACTGGCTTTACTCTTGCTAGCTCTGTCCCTTACTTTCTCAAAGAAAAGAACACCAAAAAGTAGTGTTTACGTTTTTAGATAGGGAAAATTAACACTCAGGACTAAGTTGATGCAGTCTTCATAATACTTAAGTATTTATACCACCAATAGTTTCTCCCATTTTGTCACATAAACCTTTTTTTACATCATCAACTATAACAAAGTTGCACATATTTGTGAGGTCTAAAGCAAATTATACATGGTCTTCAACAGCTTTAGCCAACAATTGCATTAATGTGTCTTAAGCCTTGGCAACCCCAACAGCCCTAAATAAATCCAAAGCTACCAACTGCCTTCAGAAGTTACATGATTAGTACTGTATATGGTCTCCATGTGCTTGGAATTTAATCTCAGTATCAACTGCAAACTTATCAAGACATAGCATTTTCCCGTAAACCTAAAGTAATTTTTGATTGCACTACTGCCCATATTGTTATTGCAACAAAGTTGTGCAGCTTTAATGATGCAAGCTTCATCCTTTAAAAACACCATCCTCATTGTGAACAATGTTAGTGGCATTATCTTGCAGTGAAGATGCCTTTTTTCTTCTTTTTGCCTTGTCTTTTTGCCAGAGGAAAGGGTGCTGTAGACTGGTTGGCATTAATGGGAGGTTGGATGGAGCTTAACTCAGGGCAAATATGCAAGAAAACCTAATAAACAGCTACAGATATCTTAAGCTTTGGGCATAGCTTTACCCTCGATCAACACAACTACCCTAAACAGATAGCCAGGGCGACAAGTTAATGATTTGGATACAATATATTCATCCAGCTTTCAGGCCTAAATTTAATTGAGAATTATCTGCAAGACTTGAAATGTTTTGTTCACAGATGCCCTCCGGCTGATTTTTAAAATAATTTTGCAAATATCTAAACAAGTCTCAGCTATCTTGCAAAGAAGACTGATGAGAAACCTTATGTGCTAAATACTATGAAATTATATATACATATAAAACGCAGTGGAAAAGGTGGCTTTAGTAATTATAAAATGAATAGAAATGCACACAGCATCATATTGGAAAATGAATCAGAATGAATCAGTTTTCATCTCTATCACATGAAATCTTAATGTACACTTGGGTTTATGATGGTACAAAAGACAATCGCTCAATAAGTTAAAATCATGTCGCAATGCACTAAATTATCCAGTCATTTTTATTAAGATGAAATCACAACATGAAAAAATTTAGCTTTTTACATGTAAAAATAATGACTTTATTTGAAAGTTAAAGTAACTGTTTTCACTGGCGTGACTTTATCTTAATGCAGATAACTTTGCTGTTGTAGTACTAAAGGATTTTATGTTCTTTTAATTTATTGAAACAGCTAATAGGGGTTTACAGTTAAAAAGCAAACAAACAAAATTAATTAACTGTCTTCTCTCACAGCTATGTGCGGTGGTAACATTACCTCATTAAATGGAACCATTTACTCTCCCGGACACCCTGAAGAATACCCAAACTTTCAGGACTGTGTGTGGAGTGTCCGAGTTCCTCCTGGACATGGGATTTACATCAACTTTACTGTTCTAAGCACAGAACCCATTTACGACTACATCACTGTCTGGTAGGTGCTTTTTCCTATAATTAGCCGTTAACTTCTCTTGTTGGGTTCCAATTAGAAGACGTTTTTTAAGCAACTGTTTAGTTTCTAAGACACTCTTAGAAACCCTTATCTGTCTGAGCCATCATTAAATTGTCTGAACTTTTTCTGCATAATTTTTCTTTTTAACATAAAGTATTGCAAGGTCTCTATAGGGGTTACCATGACTAGAGACATTTTTCCTGAAACATACGGTTACCCAAAAAACCTCTCCATGCCCCAGGTTACCTATGTATAGTCTATATATTCTCACCTCTCCTAGGCAACATTATCTCTTAACTCCTACTGAAATGTTATTAAAAGCTGTTTTTTTTTTCTTAACAGAAGACCTTTGTTGATGCAATAGTCTAAGTTTTATTGTGTGGGGGGATGGATTTGCTTTAGATTATATTGGGTTCTATTATTGGCATCCTTGATGGATTTAATACAATAATTAAACCTGGAGTGTTTCTAAATGTATACTTGACTTTTATTTTGGTCAGAAGGGTGATGCAATTTTTAATAATATCAGATGGCCACTCTTTCATATGTGAAAGACAACAATACTCCTATTCATGTGGATTTGAAATATCCAGATAAATGAGGTCTATAAGGTGGTAACTGCATAAACCTGGGTAAACTATACAAAAAAAATCTAATATCTTTCACTCATAAACTGAGAAAAAAGCCTTTTCAGCGCTGTAATTTATGTAAAAAAAAAAAAAACTTAAAAGATGCCCCAAAATTAGAGGCTGTACTCAAAAGATTTTGAGTCTTTTTATGTTTTCCATTATTTAGAAGCTTACCTCGTTAATTGCTGCATTTATAGAGGTTTAATGATTTAATTAGCGTGGTTCTTACTACAAACAGCACCTGACTCAGAATTTGTTTGCACTATAAAATCCTGCAGAGCATTGGTTTATCTCAGGACTGTTTTCTTTCCCATTTTTCCTCCATACCAAACATTTGACGAGTGCTGAACCATGTGTCCTCCACCCATAGATAATTGTGTGAATTCCATGAATTGGGAACACAGCAGGTTTCTGAAAAAGTGGCCAAATGAGTGAATTGGTGGACTGCACGAACAGACAAAAAAAAACAAAAAAAACACCACAATCTCAGTCACAGAGACCTAATGTTGGCTCTCCGCAGAGAGCACAGTGTCAGTGGTAAAGGTGTGATTTTCACAGCGGTCTCCTCAGTCCACCGCCAGCCGACCTGACAGTCTCTGAATCTGCTAATTGGTCTCATACTGAGAGACGTACTACAGGATTTTATAGCAAGAAGTGTCAGATGTATCTGATGTTAGCAAGAACTGTGCAACCTTTCACTGTATATGTTACCCGAGTGTACTAATAATTGTAAGGAACTGAAAACATTGGAAAGCAATATGAGAAAATATTCCAATATGCCTTGTTGAACATGAGAGTCACTTAGTGTAACAACTCCAACTCATTAGAGTTTTTGGTATTGATAAAATCCTATTTCAGTTTTTGTGAATTTTACAATGAAATCCACTATAAAATTGGTTGTAAAACTAGATAAATTGTATTAAATAAGAATGCAGTTTCCACTATACCATTACAAATATGTAGCCAAAGTTAAAAATGTTAGTTTTGAAAAACTGAGTAGGTTCTTCCAGCAGATAAAAAGCAACTTGTGCTTCAAATGAAAACAAACTGCAAATATAAGCACTGCCAAAAAACAGAGATTTTGAAATTTCAAAGCGTACAGACATACATCTTGCCAGGAGCCAGCAGAAACGTTTGCCTCCATACGGAAATGTTTTGGACCAATGAAATGCAGTGACATGTAGGTGGAAGGCTGAAGCAAAACAAATAGTGGTGCGGTTTTTGCTTTTTGTGGATTGGAAGATGGTTGAGCATTCCCCCCGAACGGATTTGTTAAAAGTTTGATTTATGAGTTAACTTCGCAAGTTGTGAAACAATTAAAGCAGCTACGGCTGCTGTGATTGGCTAAAATTGGCTAAAAACTCAACATGTGAGGCAGGTATCCAATTAGCTTAAAGAATTGGAACGAATGTCCCTCTCTTTTGCGAACAATTTCTACTTGATGCTTGATCGATTCACATAGTTTAGTTTGAATTCTACATGGTCGCAATCTGGTCTAATTTTGTTGATGCCGGTTTTCTTCTATTTCTACTAACATTTTATAAACAATCTGGAGTCCATCACTCCACAGTGCGAATTGTTTACAATTAAACAACATTAAAGACAATTGGACATTTTCCTGAAAGCATGATCCATCCATCCATCCATCCATCCATCCATCCATCCATCCATCCATCCATCAACCTAGTGTTTATCACAAATGCACCATCTTTACTGTCAAATATAGAGGAGGAGAGGCAATGATTTGAGCTTGCTCCCTCGCCTCAGGGGCTGAGCCCTTTGGCCTTTGAGTTGACCACAAACTCCCCTGTATATTCTAGCATTTTAACGTCATTGTTCCAACAGCCATATCTTGATCTTAGCTGCATCAGTAAACAAGACAATTATTCCAAATCTGACGGCAAGTCTCCAACAAAACAACTGAAAAAATATATATATAATATTTCTAATTTACTAAAACCATGTCAAACTCCAGACCTCAATCTGCTCGAAATGTTTATGGGGTCCCTCAAAACAGGTGTGCTAGAGAGGAATGCTACAGTTCAGCACAATGAAGTATTGTTGTTACAAGAGGGTTGAAAGAGTCGTTCACAATTAAATGCGACCACACAGCAACTTAAAGCTGCTTATTATTTCAATTTATTAAACTATAGGAGTTTGTGTGAAACGCTGTTTGCTTTTTTGCACTCACTTTTAAATGTCATGGGGAGGTTTTTTGGGTAACCGTATGTTTCAGGAAAATGTCTGCAGTCATGGTAACACTTATAGAGACCTTGTAATACTTTACATGTCAGAATCTGGTAATAATTCAATGTATTTTCTCTTAATTCTGATGCTTAAAAACCTAATATGGCAAAAGGGTTCCTTCTGTAACAATCTTTCTTTTTAGTCACAGATAGCATGTCCTCTGTTTGAGTCTAACATAGGATAAGGCTCTCTTTAAAGGTGAAATAAGTTCAGAATATCACATGCAAAGGCCAACCTGCTGGCTGATAAAAAAGCTTTTCAAGAATACTAATCTGAGTAAACATTGGACCACACCAAGACTCACCTTTAGTATTTCTTTTGACCCGAGAGCAGTGCAGTAAATGCTCAATTCCAATGCTGCAAGAAATGGTACAGAATTCTAAAGTGTTATCTTGATCTACTCTTTTTATTATGAATGAGCCTAAGACATTGCAGTTTGAAATGTTGAGAAGGAAGATGGGCTTTGTTCCGACCACAATGAGTGCGGAAAATCCCTTTGCAGCAAAACGTCCATCTGCATTGGCAGTAAATGGAGCAGCTTCAGTTCTGTATTACAAATATTACCAAGTCTTCTTTTTGTTTAATTCTAGCCTCAAGAAATCTGTTAATCCCAAATAGCCATCTGAAAAATCATATCCATGCAGCAAGTTTTTCATGTCATGTCATAGGTGGATTTTTTTTGGACCTAAATAAAGAACGCTCATGTTTAGGTGTTTTTTGTGTTTGTCTTTTTCTTTTACATTTAAGTGTATGTTTCTCTTTGGGTTTCCCCACAGGGATGGTCCAGATCAATCATCCCCTCAAATAGGCCAGTTCAGTGGGAACACAGCACTGGAGTCTGTCTACTCAACTTCCAACATCATCCTTATTAAATTCCACTCTGACTTCTCTGGATCAGGCTTCTTCGTCTTAAGTTACCATGGTAAGACGCACAGCTTGTTCAGAGCTGGTGGTGTTATTCGGTGTGCTGTACAGTGCAAGTGGAGCATGACATTTGATTTGGTCTGCTCACTTTCAGACGCCACTCTCATTAACCATTGCCTCTGCAGTTTTCTTTCGTGTCCTGGGGTACAGCGATGAAACCATAATGCTGTCATTAGCTGTAGCTGCAATTATGAGACTGATTGGTTTTTCATTGTGCTGAACTATGTTTAACTTTATCCTCATTAAGTTCTTCCCAACCCTCCTGCCTTGAATAATTAGATATTGAATTTAATTCGGCTCAGGAGAATTTTACAAGTTGATCAAAGTTTATTTTACAGCCCATCCTACCAGAAATGAAATGGACAGGACTATCTTTGGTTCGGTTTTTGTTTTTTACATGGACTACAAGTTGTCATGTCCTATTCTTATTTTCAACTTTGCCAATAAAAGAAAAAATATTTTATCTAATATGTTAAAGATATCACTGATGACATTGCCTTTTATGCTAAGAAAGAAAAGACAGTGTAAAAGACCTACAGTTTGTTTGAAGTTGAAACAGTATCTATATAGAGACACCTCTAAGCATCCTCAGCTTAGACTGTCAGTGTGTCTCTATCTGGGGTGAAGGTAAGCCGGAACGGTCTGTTACTGCGTACCAGTAATAGATTTAGGGCCGGTACAGAATACTCGAAACACCTGTTGTCTGCTATTATTTGCGACGAACAACTTCAGCGCACAGTTACCAATCTGAGAGCATGGTGAGACAGATGTACAAAGTTCAAATCTCATTCAGAATGTGTCTGATATAGATATAGATAAAGGTTATATTGGTCTATATCTGAAAAAAATTGAAATATATACAGGGTGTAGGAAAACAATATAATCCAATATATATATTTAAATCTAATTTCATCACGCGCACCCAATGAAGCATCTTCATAGATAAATGATGAAACCGCATTCGCCATGACTCCTCTAAATGTCGCCATCCACGGTTATGTTCTCTATCCTTCGCCATCAAAATATGGAGCAACTCTAATATTCTGCTCCTTCATGCATGCTCTCTTCAGACTCTAAAGAACTTATAATGAACTTGATGCTTTTACGGTGGATGCAGTAGGTGGTGCTTTTCACAGATGTGTAGAGGCGGTCTGCAACTGACCTGACACAGACAGTTGCAGTTGCAGATGATTTTTAATCTGGGTTTAAGACAGACTGTACAGGAGATCCTTCCTGCTTACAATTATTACCACTAAAGAGGCATTTTTAAAAGCTGCTTGTCAGAAAATAAAATTTCCGTGAGTTTTTTTTTATTTTTTTTTATTGGACACTGAAAATTATATTAATTCAATTAAATTTAAAAGCATGTTAAATGAAGTTAAGTAATGCAGGTAAACAAATTGGGTAATCAGTACTAAATTGTAACATCAGCTTTTTTATTTTGGACATTTAAACCAATCAAAGTTCCATCTTATTTCAGTTCAGCAAATAAATTAAAACTATATTAACAAACACTACACTATCTGAATTAACTAAGCTAGATATACTTAACTTCGTTAAATTCTGCTAAGAAAAGTAAAAAAAAAAAAAAAAACATAAATATTGCATCTTTTCACTATCTTGTGTCTTTCAAATTTGAAGGCCTCCTTACAATCATTAGCCTGAACTTAACCTCCCTCCATAGTTTAGATTAGGTTCTAGTCAGGCTGGGCCATTCAAATGTCTAAGTCCATTTTTTTTAACACATTAAAACTTACTTTTGCATTTTCAGACAAAAGAAAAAAATCTCTGCTATGAAAATGTGTCCATTTGAGTTGCAAAGTCTTTGTTGCCAAAACATTATCTCTCTATATTGTTATGATCTTATTTGAACAAAGGGGTGATGGGCTTTTCAAGAGCTGAGATGTTCAGATTTTAAGGACCTTGTGTGCTCTGTTCAGCCGTCTCAATGGGCAATCATCATGCTGCAGATGATATCTCTTAATGAACCATTACATTTCATCGAAGCGGGATTTTTACCAGACTGTGACGTGCTTATGATTTAATTTGATATTGTTTGCAATGAACCAAGCTTTTTTATTAGTTTTTTTAGTCTCATGCTCGTCTCAAGTTTCCCATAAGTTCACTCTGTCTCACTAAGCTAACAAGCGCAGGAATTGTGTACCTGAATTCCCCACACCTCCTTTACATATCATCTCTGAGAGAATTTATAGAGAGGTTATATTTAAGAGGATTTTCCAGTTATGGCTCATTTGCGTCGATTCATTCTTGTGGCAGTTTTCAAGTGTCATACTTGAGAAGGAGCATCTCACTTTGGATGGATTTCAGTTTGGTTTTTTTAACCTTTGCTTTATCAGATAATGAAGACAAGAAGATATTGAGAGCTGGGAGTACCATATATCTCAGTGGCTCTTCATTATTTCTCCGTTAGAAAACATTATTATCAAAGATAAGGGAGCAGTACACTTCTTTTGTTTGGACTAAGCTGCATAAGTTTATCAAAGAGACACTTGTCAAAATAAGAAACATTATTTCCTCTTTCCTTCATCCGTGTCCTTCAGTGAGTTGACCGAAATCCAGAATGTCACAGTTTGCATCCGAGGCGGCTGCAAAAGTGCAAATTTAGATCGAAATGCCAAATAAACCCCCCATAGAAGCAGTGAAACACTACTGGGGATATTTATATTTGTTTTTGTCCTTCTGTTTACTTATCTTCGGGTTAGGATTGTGAATGCCAACTCTTCCATACAAACACAAGAGCATGAAGAGGGGTAGGTGATGTTGTCATGGATATGAGACTAGCAAAGCAGATCTGAAAAAAAAAATGGTCTTAGAGCTTAGCGAGATCTATGGCTGCTTGCAGTGATCCTTTCTCTGTGCACACATTCAGATGTAATGACACACACACAGACCACAAGGCTTTGATATGCATGAGAGCAGCAGATACTATTGGCAGGTCTCATTTTCATAGTCAATTTCATCCTGACTTACAGCCCTCAGCCCTCTCTTATCCTCCTCTCCTCCAGTCTTGTCTGTCTGTCTTTATGTCTGTCTATATTTTCACCCTGTGCCTCTGTTGGTGAGTGATCTACACTCATGCAGTAATATTGATTACAGCCTTCAGCTCGCCGGCTGTGAAGATGGTTTCTTTTTATTAGTCAAGGCAGAGCAGTATATGCGAGGTTGCTCTGTTTTTGATGCCCTGCTTTGCTGACCTGACCACCCTAACCGCCAAAAGTGGAGTTAAACTTTTGCTACCGTGACTGAAATTAAAACAGGTCCTTTTGGTTTATCACGTCATAGGCATCTGTATATTTTTAATAGTGGATAATTTCAACATGAATATCCTTTTCTTTTAATCTGTCTTGGCTTAAAGATTGAATCATGTCTGATATCACTAGTATTTTGATAAAGCTTCCCTCTTTGCTCTCTTTTCCCACCTCTGCTGTGTCTTTGCTTCAAGCCTACCAATTAAGGGTATGCCAGCCTCCCCCAGAAGTACCAAATGCTGACATGCTGATGGAGAATGGCGAGCTGGAGATAGGTGAGCTGTCTGTCTACTTGTCAAGCCTCTGGATGGGTCAATTCGACACTGGATGAAAACTGGAAAGTTGCAACTTTCCAGTCATCCCGGTTCTTGCTGAAAAAGAAAAAAAAGGGCATCGCATTGAAAACATTTGATATTTTTCCTATTTTTAGTACACTGCCTTGCAAAACTATTTCATGTTTTTCAGATTTCTTGAGGTAAAAAACAGAATATCTTTATATCTTGTGGCTTTTCAACAAAAATGTCTGAAAGTATGAAGTATTCCTTTGTCAAATGCAATCCCTATAGTAAAAAGGTGTTACTCTGGTGTGATGAACTTGGAATTAAAGAGAGAATTTGCTCCCATCCTCCGAAGTTTGAAAAAATCATCACTATGTCTCCCTTGTTCTTTGGTACTCGTGTGACATTACCAACCATAATCCTATGAAATAGTTTACCTCTATTCAAACTTCAATGTGATTCACTGATAAAAAAAAAATGTAATTTTGAATTTTTAAACTTGCTATCAAATGGTTTTCAGGCAATTTAAGAAATACAAATGGACAGCTTTTTTATTTAACTGTCAAAGTTAGATTTCACTGTTACATCTGCAACAAGGAGAGGCATATCCAATTTATGGAGAGGCTTAACCTTTACTGGAACCCATGATTGGTTAACTATGTCAACATATCTAGGTTTATCTTTTCCAGATGGGTGTAGCTTTCGTTTTGTCCCTTTGGTTGTATCTTTTTCCATATTGACATTTCTTTTGTTTCTTCACATATGTTTTACTACCTTTTTACACACATATACATACACACACATATTGTAATGCAAGTACCACCCTTAAACACCACCTTCTTAACTGAAGAATGATTAAGTACATTTATTTTGCCCCAACTTGCAACAACTGAAAGACAAGAAGAAATGGGAAAAACTGAGGGAAAGAATATATAGAGTGAAACAGGCCAACTTCACAAACCAATCAATATTTTTGTGTTTGAAATGCCCAAACCATCGGACCTCCCGCTTACTTCTGCAAATATGCATTTCTTAACTTGGCCTTTGCTGCATGCCGCAAAATAAAATGTGCATAGAAATTTAAAATGGAATAATCAATACATATTTACAGAATTTGGGAGGATTTTTATTTTATTTTACTTTTAAGTGGTTGATAAACAGTAAAAAAAAAAAAAAAAAAAAAAAAAAAAAAAACTGTTATACTGAATAACTGCCAAATACAGAAATATAAGGTTCTATTGGAAAGCAGGGATACTTACTTACTTATTACACTTTTTTATATTTATTTATTTATTTTCTGCAGCAATTAAATTAAAATGTATTCATGGTCTTTACAAAGTTTTGTTTATAAGTGGAGAACATATTGAAGTACTAACATTTTTAGAACATTACACATTCCTGAATGTAAAATAGTGGAAAAAAGAAATGTCATACACATTTTTGCTTTTGCTTCCAGGTGACATCATTAGGTACCGATGCCATCCTGGTTTCTCATTGGTCGGCAATGAAATCCTAACTTGTCGCTTGGGAGAGAGACTGCAGATGGATGCCCCTCCTCCTACATGCCAAGGTGTGAATTTAAAGATTTTTCCCAAATTAGATTTTTTCAACTTTCTGAGTCAAAGTGTCTTTTCACCCAAAACTTCCTCACCTTCACTAATTGTCCCTATTCTCAGTTCAATGCCCTGCTCATGATGTGCGATACGACTCATCGGGTGTCATCCTGAGCCCAGGCTGGCCGGAGAGCTACCCGAACCTTCAGATGTGTTCATGGAGCGTTAACCTAGAAAAGGGATACAATGTCACCATAACCTTTGAAAGCTTTCAAACAGAGAGAGAATTCGACGTACTGGAGATTTTTGATGGTAAAAGACCCGGACTCCTCAACACACACACATTTGCGTCTTGCTTTATGTGCTGAGGACTTCCATTAATTTTCAGCCCTTTCTCTGGCCCTAATCCTGACCGTACTCTAAACGGAATCATTAGAGGTACATACAGTACCTTAACCTCACCCTAAACTAAACTCACAATCAGAATTATGTTGTTAATCTCTTGAGGGAATTTTTTTTTCTTGAAACTGTTTACAGAAGAGAAGAAAATAAGATTATAGAGAAAAAATATATACAGTCTAATAAGACTAAAAACAGTAAAATTATAAAAATTGTAACCCACAGTAAAATTACACCCTTACCATACAAACAATGTAAAATATTATATAAGAATAAAATAAGATAAGGAAAATAATACAATAAAGTAAGGAAAAGAATAAAATAAGGATTACATCATATACAATTGACAGTATTTACAATTAAACTAAATTCATACCCTAGTACTAAACCTAACCCCTGGCAAAATAACCTGGAAGGATCAAAAGAATATCCTTATTTTATAATAACAGGACCTCACTGGAAATAGAAGAAAATGAGTTCTCACTCAGATAGCAAAACAGGAACACACACATTTTAAATGTCACTATTGGTAAACTACCGTATACACATCTACATTAATATATATTGTAATGTAAAAAAAAATAAAATAATTTAAATTATTTGCTTCCCTTAAAATAATTAGCTTTAAACTTTTAAAAAAGGAAGACATTGAAGAATGAGATTGATTTTACATCAAATTCTAACTTAAACTGGAAATGAGTTTAATCAATAATAATGTTCTTTTTTATCAAACCAGTATCTACCTACCAATGATTAAACTGAATAAAAATTGATGCACAGTCTGATCTAAAAAAAAAACAAAGATTCTAGAAATGAATCTATTGTACACATTAATCATTTCAAACTTTGATACTATGACTGCAACAAATCTTCAAAACACCTTTATTAATGCTATAATAACTGTTACCCAGTTGTATTTTATTTTCTAGCCATTAACTAATTTGAATGTTGAAAGATATTTTCTATTTCTTCTTTATTCTACCATTCTGGCCTTGGTGTACACTGTGATATTAAAGTAATTAACTTATTGAATTATTAAAACTTGAAAAAAATTGCAGGATAGTAATCATATATAACTGACCTTTGGATGGTCTTAATAACCACTCACACATTTTCTTCTAGTAGTAATATGCTAGAATTCTTAAAGATGTCCAGATCTTAGTGACACCTGCAATAATAGAAGGTTATTATCTTATTAGGGTCAGATCTAAAAGTCCAACAAGGGGAATTTAAGGGAACCTGGAGAAAAGCGATTGATTGAAGGTGATTTTGAACCCTGTTTGGTTGGTTAGTGTATGTATTTAGGTATAATAAACTAGATATTATAAAATATTAAGATGTCAAAAAAAAATTCTTTCTCCTTCCACCACTGCTTTGTGTCTCTCTCACCTAGGACCCACAGCCAATAGTCCAACTCTGGCAACGCTGAGCGGCGACCTCCCAACACCCTTTAACATCACAACCTCAGGTCATCAGTTTCTTGTCCGCTGGTCCTCAGATCATGGCACCAACAAGAAAGGCTTCAAAATTCGCTATGTTGGTGAGTACCAAAGTATGTATCCCAATTCTACTTTACTACTATTTTATACAGTAATGCATGAAAAAAGAGAGTCAGACAGAAGGACTGAAAGTAAACCTCTTTACTTGTAATCACTGGCAAATATAAAAATAAAATAAAGCTTTTTATAACTTTTTTAGGTGCCATTATATTTAAAAGCTACAAATTGGCTTCTTAAAACACTTTATTTGTTTATCTTGTTCATACTTTCCTGGACTTCCGTCTGCCTCATGAAGCACTTTTCTGAATTGCCTGATAGGTTGATGTTCAAGTTTTATTAACCCGAAAAAAGTTTGATAAGATGGGGCATTGCAGATGGTGTTTTACAGAAAACTATACATGTGAACAATTTTGCACTTGGTTGTCCCGAGTATAACTTAACACCGCTGGGTAATGAGGCATGAGTGCTCTATGCAAGGGCATTTCTGACAGTTAAAGAGCAGGAGACAGTTTTACCTGTTCACACTTTGCTTGTTCACACCACAGCCTACAGTCCAAAAGCTGTTTCTTTAACCTTTAAAGCACTGCTGCTCTGTATGATGAATTACAAGCCTTTCAAGATGCTTGGTAACCTTCTTTGGCTGGACGTGATTAATGTGAGCATTGACAAGAGGTTTGAAGCATAGACCTACTTAAAAAATAGTTCGACCTGCAAAATCGACCAATGAGGGAACCTCTTTTTCTAGACTTTTTTAATTACAAAGTGCAGAACATGTTAGTATATACTGTTTTAATAGATTTAATGACACATATTAAAAAATCTTTCTGCAATTTTCCAATATTTTTACATTCCAAAATGTTATTTTAAGTAATTTCTAAGTTTTTAAGCACCATATTTTACAGTCTTAGATAGCAATAAAATTTTTCTTGATTTAATAGAAAATGAAAGTGAAATGGCTCCAACAATGACATCTAATATAACAGTGATTTCTCTCACATATAGCCCCAAATTATATAGCTGTATCTCTTTTAAGTCAGTCTGCTGTTAAATTTTCTTACTTGTATTGCATATAGAGATTACCATGACTTCTGCATTTTTGTGGAAATAGTAAATTAGAATTAGTGTTATTATTGTCTCTCATTGCCTGTCTCTATCTATGAACCCTGCATGTCCGTGCAGGCTGGATAGACTCTTTCACACTTGATCATCATGAGATTTTTAGTGCATCTCTTCTCAAGCTCGTTTGTTCAGGAAGCTAAATCATAACTTTCATTTAAATTGCACTGATGTGCAATTCACATAACTATGTGATGTTCTCAGTTTGGAAAATACTGTAGTGAAGTTATATAGATTCAAACTGTTTTATCAGTATTATTTCACACTTTGGATAATGGCTCGAGTTTTTAAAGAAAAACCTAAGGGATGACTTTAAATTTTAGTCACAACACAGCAATAAAGGGATGTATTAAGGGAGCAAATATATTTTGAAGCAAAGTATATTTTTATTTTCCTGATTTCCTAAAAAAAAAAAAAGCCTTCTTATTTAAGAAGGCATTTTCACAACCTCATTATTTTTGTATTATTGAAATGATCTAAGCTTTAAAGCATCATGATGAAACTCCTTAATGTAAGGCTTTCTGATTATGGTCTTCTGACTAAATATTGGTCTTGGCCCTCAAATTTTGTTTTAAAATCAGAATCCTTGTTTAACTATGAACACAGTTTTATTTTGATATAAGTTGTGAGATTTCTAATGCAAAAGATCAGACAAGGGGTCCCTAAAACAGCATCAGGACAGTTTAGTTAATTTTTCTCTCTTTTCAGACAGTAAGACCTAAAACTATCTACATAAACAAAATACAAATCTAGTTTTTTGTTTGTTTTCTTCAGAAACATATTGTTTTCTTAATGGATTTAAGATTCTTTACAATGCAGTTGTATTAGCAGAAAATTTAGAATAAACATTTATAACAAAAGAAAAAATACTGTAAAGTAAAAAAAAAAAATGTTTAAGCAAATGGAATGAAATGTGTAACTAGGCCAAAATGTGCAAGTATAATTGTGTGGGGAAAAACGTAACAGACTAAAGACTGATCTTAGCAACACTAGCAGGCTTTAAAGCTGGCTTCCCCTAAAAGATTTTTACTTTATTTGGAATCTGTTAACAGATCAAGACTTTGGTGAGATATCTTTAAAAAGTTTAGTCATTGATCATGATCATATTTTATGTTACTGCTTCTAAAACAATTTTCAACTTGATTAATGTATGCATATGTAATGACTTGGCTACAGAAACACCACTTCAGCAAGCATGCAAAAATTGTAAAGTTATGTCTTTGGTACTGTAGATGTTAATATGCTAGTCTTTGATCATTTTCCATCTAAACATTAATGTGCAATAATGTTTCCAACACGTAGTAGTAGTTTAAGAATTGTATGGACCTTAATGATTTATTAAGAAATTTTGTATTAATTCATTTGTGTTTAAATGTCTCTAAAAAAATTGTGCAATGTGTGCTTATAGAATTTACATAATTTGTTTTTATAAATGTTTGTTCCACCCCAGCCCTGTACTGCTCCACACCAGACTCTCCCCTCCACGGCTCCATCTCCTCTCAGACAGGCGGTCATGTAAACAGCGTGGTGCGCTGGGCTTGTGACCGAGGTTACCGCCTCATAGGCAATGGCACGGCGACCTGCCGCCGTACATCTCAGGGCTACCACACCTGGGACTCTCCTGTGCCTGCCTGTCAAGGTACATCAAAATCTGCTTTTAGCTGAAGCAATAGATGCATGTATTTACGTATGTTTTTTCAAAAACCAGTTTTGATGCGTCAATGATGACTTAAGGTTTAACCACAAGACAAAGAAAATGTTTTCTACTGCCTATGATGATAAAAAAACCCAAGCACCACCAAGGCTGAAGTCTATTATCAACTATAAATTGCTGGAAAATTAGTGTCCTTCACTCCCGTGAACCAAGTTTTACATCAACATTGAATGGCAGGGTGCTGCGCAAGAAAGAAACCCTTATTTCAGATTCAACACTTTCAAACCCGCTGCACCAGAAAACTCTTAAGATAATTACCAACAAGAGGATGGTTCAAGTGGGTTAATGTGCGCCTTTAAAATCAAATAACCCCTCACCAGTGTTTAAGCATTGTGGGGATTGCATCAAACTGAGGCATCACTTCAATGCAATCAAAGTTTTGGCCTAGTGGTTAGGGCATAAGGCTATGAATCCTGAGGTTGTGAGTTTGAAACCCACTCCCAAAGTCTGCTACTCTAGCTCTCTGAGCAAGACCCTTAACCCCGATTGCTCTCCTGGCACTGAGCAGTGGCAGGGTTAAATGCTTAGAGTTAATTTCTCCATTGTGAGAGCAATTAGGTTCAATTTATTTGTTTATTTATTTATCAAACAAAGTAAGTAATGTAGATGGAGGACTACCTCCATATGCTTTAAGTCTGTCTGAGATTAAAACAGTAGATGAAAAGTTGAAATGTGAGGGGGTTGCGTGTTCCAGCAGGACACAAATCAAACTGGTCTTCTAGTTGAAAAGAAATCAGTGCAAATCAAGACTCTATCTTGATATCATCTCCAACCCCATCTTGATATCTCCCATCTACTTCATTTAAAAGCTGGGATTTCACCAAGATACCGCACAACTCAAATTACCTCGACTCTTTTATACTAAATTCAAAGATTCAGACAGAATGATGGTGAAAGCTTCCTAATGACCATCAAATTTGTTTTCTAAAGCTATACATTATATATATATATATATATATATATATATATATATATATATATATATATTCTTGAAGCTACATAATTTTAACCTTTTGTCGAAAACATTTTTAAACTAGTGCACCCAGGACTTTATTTTAAATATATTCCACATTGCACGTTGCAATTGTTCCACCTCTAAAATCAAATGGTTCAATCAGACAACATTTCTATGGCATTAACAGCCTTATAATTCAATGCAATATGCTGGCTGGATTGGTGAGTGTGATTATGAATGTCCAGGAAATAAAGGGAACACCTTACCTGTTTGCATGTTCTCAATAAGTGTAACTGTTTTTTCATAGCTGTCTCCTGCGGACCACCTAAGGCTCCAGTAAACGGTGGGGTGCTAACTGCTGACTACTCTGTGGGAACAAGAGTTTCCTACTTTTGCAACGACGGATACAGACTGTCCAATAAGGAACTGACATCAGCCATCTGTCAGCCAGATGGAACTTGGAGCAACCACAACAAGATACCGAGATGTTCTGGTTAGTGAGAAACAGATCCTGGTATCAGCCGTGTGCTGTAACATATGGGCCAAATTTCAAATGCAAGGATTTTGAGTTAGAAAAGCAAAAAGCAAAGTTGTTGTATTTTCCCTCAATCTAATAAAACTTAATTTTCCTCTGTTCCTGTAGTTGTAGTGTGTCCCAGCATTGGGTCATTTTCTCTGGAGCATGGCCGCTGGAGGATTGTCAATGGCTCGCACTATGAGTACAGAACTCGCATCGTCTTCACCTGTGACCCAGGGTACTACAGATTAGGCCCTGCCCACATCCAGTGTTTAGCCAATGGGGTGTGGAGCTGGAAGAATGAGAGGCCACACTGCCAGAGTGAGTAGCGAGGATATGTAATATTAGCTGCTTGGAGCACAAAAAAAGGAATGTCTGCGGGTTTTTTTCGAAGTAACAACAACAATTACTTGATTTCTTCTTTTGTCTGTTGAGAATGTAACAAGGCAATGTTTCCTCCTTTGTCCCTTGTTTCCTAAAATATTTTATGATGTAATTGTAAACAATTTGTATTAATTTGTTAATGGGCAATGATGAAAAGTAGAAATCCCTTAATAAAAACTTTTTAGAGATTGATTTTAGAAGGATATATTGTAATATGTATTGAATCCCATCCCAGTGTTGGCTAAAAGTCCATGAAATTTAAAACCCTTTGACAAAATGTGAGACGCACATGAATAATTATGTCAAAGTAGTTTCTAAATGCATCTTACGATTTCAACCTGAAGAAAAGAAGCAATAAGAAAGATTTTACTGACATGAATGAAAATAAATTATTTGGCACCCGGACCTCGGCAGAAGACATTATGCTGTAAATCTTCATGAGCCTGGATGAATAACTTAGGAAGAGGATTAGAATAACCTTCCCCCCAGGGCCCAGACACAGGTTGTGAAATAAACCAGAGGATTAGAGGGTCTAAGAATGGACTACAAGAGAGGAAGGAGATGGGCCCAAATGGGGCAGCTGAGAATTTATACAAATTAAAACTCTTTATTAGGAAAAAACTGAACCATACAAATTTTAATGCTACATTCATACTGGACGCAATTGAAGCAGCAGAAGCTGCTGGTTTACATGCAAAATCAATGGTTGACGTGCATCAAGGTGCAACAAAAGGTCCTACAGCTCGTCTCGAGCAGCAGGAGCAGCGCATCTTGATGCATTTGAGCAGATGAAACAACGCCTCATGAGCCTCTAAACATCTGTGGTGCATGACTCGCTTCAAAAGCAGCAGCTGCTGGAGTTAGAAGAATTGAACTTTTGCTCCTTGGTGCGCCACATCAACTAATCAGAGAAGCTGATCTGAGGCACGCAGAGAGACAGACACAGCACTGCTGATTTAGAGCACTATAAACACTTCATTGAAACAGTTTATTAATGCCCAAATTAACCTAAAATGTCAAAACCAGGAATGACTTCTTCTTCTCTGAATGGCCTTTCAGTCCATTTCAGTGTCGGACTCTTTTCAATGTGGATAATGTCGCCTTCTTTAGATCTTAAGCTGTAATTTTTACAGGGTTGTTTGTTTTTGACTGGGGGTTTGTAACTTCTGTACAAATTTATCTCTAGAATAAAAACAAGTATATGACTGGACATTCTTATAGTGAAATAAGAGTTGATATTTAAATGCCCTGATATGGCCTATTAGGGGAATGTAAGTATCATATTCAAGGATAAGCTAGATATTAAACCTTAAACATTTCCTTTCAGATCATTTCAATGCTATAATATAAAAAGCAGCATGCTTGATCTGTTGCCATATAATACATCCACTTACCGCCCACCAGCTTACCCTGAATCTCTAAATCACATTTAGAAAGTTGGCAATGGTTGCAATTTACAGATTATTTACATCAAGACAAAGCATTGTATGCAATGGCGGCAGATGACGATTTACAAATTCCATAGATGTGACTGGACTATTACAGTACAATGTATCAATGTAACATATTTAAAGTTGTAGCCGGTTCTTCATTTTGGGCCTAATGCAACAACTAAAAGCTTCATGACGGTGAGAATCAGCAAGAATCATAACCTGGCTTACATATAAACTCATGTGACAGTTCTGTCAGGGGAAACAGCCTGAAAAAGCTTGTCATTTTAAATTCGACTGTCATGTTTAAATTCCTATTTTTTTCTTTCATCTAATTTGATGCTATCCAAAGATGGGATAGTCGCCAAGCAAGGTTAAACTTGCATCCTTTCAATCAATAATTTAACCTGGGAGAGTTGACATTTTTAGCTGTCATTCAGGAGGCCTCTTCCTGGGATTCTTTGACATTTTGGATTACTGTTATTTTTATGCGGGGAATATTGAGGCTCTTCTACATGTACAGTTTTTTTTTTCCCCCTCACTGGGTATTTTGTTTTTTGGGGAGGAGAAAAACGCTGGTACCAAATTTCTCTGCCGCACAGCTTGCCAGGATTGGTAGCTTTTCTTGTTGAAGCAAAGGAAGTCTAGCAGCTTCTCAAATTATTCCTTTGCTAAAGTGGCTGGCAACTGATTTTTAAATTGCTTGTGTCCGACCATGTGTTGCAGTTATCTCATGTGGTGACCTGCCTTCTCCTCCAAATGGGAAAAAGATTGGTACTCAGACAACATTTGGCGCAACAGCTATCTTCACATGTGATGCTGGCTTCATGCTGGTAGGGTCAGCTGTCAGAGAGTGCCTGTCTTCGGGGCTTTGGAGCGGAACAGAAACTAGGTGCTTAGGTGAGTAATTCCACAAAATAATCACACTGTTTTCTATAGCATATTACACATATCTAGAGCAAAATTCTCTGGTAATTCTGTAATTTTCTGAATATTCTTCAAATCTCAATATGGTTAAAGAACACTGGATCAAACAAACCTGCAACTTAAAGGTATAGTGGAGGGTTTTTGCAAATTTTTGAAAAGACCTGCCCTCTCCACTTAAAAAAAAAATGCACATGCTCAACCCTATACCCGCTGCTTAGAGGGAACACCTATTAAACGTGTGCGAGAACATGCACGATCCCATTTCTCCTTGTGCACGCTCTGTTTAAAAGTTGCTGTTTGTATCTCTCATACAAGCTTACTTTTTAAAAGAAGATTCGCAATTTTTCCACTATTTCAGACTCACCACCAGTAAGTGAAAATGTGGACGAGCCCTCCCTAAACATATCACCAGAATGATTGACAATTAGGATGACCACTTATTTTGATGATCCACTAGGAAAAAGAACATCCCACACTTTACCTTTAAACTTGCAATTAGTTTTAACATTATGGTTTTTTTTTTGTTTTTTTTTTTTTTACAATTTCTCACTTTAATGTTCTGTACTGGACTTTCGTGTTAATATTAATCCAAAATAGCACATATATCAATATGAAGTAAACTAATCCATGGAGAAACATTGTCTACTTTGATTAAAGCAGCATGTATTTTTTGAGATCTCTTCAACCTTCACCATTCAGACACACTTTTTCGGAACATTCTCAGTGGAACAATAAAACTGGGTTTTATTGTATCCTGAGTGTCTGCATCAGCACAGCCTCGAAACTGAAGAAGATTTGGACTGCCATTGTAAGACACGAAGAGGCTTTGATCTGTTATCCCTGGGTTAGTGTTTAGAGATTGTTGTCCTTCTGAAAGCTGAACTTATCTCCCAGTCTAAGATCCTTTGCAGTCTTTCATTACTTTCCTACCAGGAATGCCCTGTATTAAGCTGTATCCCTCTTTCCATCATACTGATCAATTTCAATGTTCCTGCAGAAAAAAAAAGTATCTTTACAGTGGATTTTTTTTCTTTTCTTTTAGTTTTAGAGTTACAGAAAACATCTAACATCTGACCCTATCAAAACATCTTTCCCTGCACAATATTAGGAAAACATGCAGCATAAAAAAGTACATAAATACATATTCAAATATCCAGTGTTAGTCTCAGTCCGTGTTGACTTTATTCAGCTTATCAAAGAAAATAAACTCTATCTTAGTTACCCTTTTTTAATAGAAAAAATTGCTTCTAGTTGCATCTTTGCAAAGAATAATTTCTTAATAAAACCTTCTTATAAAAAAACATCCTAACATCTTACAGTAAATCCCTCCTAACAGTTTATATCCTAAATGCAGTTCCTTGTGTTGAGTAATCAAGTGAATTCCTTCTATTCCTTTTTTGGGAGATGTAATGTAAAAAAAAAATCAAAAAGTAATACAAGGCTCTGTGGCAAGATACATCCTTATAGGGGAAGCAGCGAAGATGCTATTTTTTTTTCACGTCGATCTAATGAGGACAGGTATCAAAGGAAGAGTGCTGCCCTTACACCTCATTTCAGGCCTCACAGCTGCTCCCCTCTGACCTTGTCCACCTCGTGAACAACACCATCCCCACTGAGCTTCAGCTGGGCTCTGAGGTAATTTAGAAGTTCATTTTTTATATATGAATCCCTCAGAAGCCGCATCTTTCTTCTGCCAGCTTGCAAGCCAGGGGTAACACATGTTATGAAAGGGAGCTGTCACTTCATCGTGAAGCCTCAGCAGGAGTAAAACTTGCAGGTGTCACAAGCAGGGGGTTGCGGTTCCTAAAAGACAAACACCGTACTGTAAATCTTAATTCGATGATAAAAAGGCATAATTTTGTCAGCAACAAATGAACAAAATGCTACAGACCGTCATGTTTTACGTCTTTGGTCATGCTTCAAGCTTATGTTTTATTTCCTTTTTTTATTCTTACCAGGCTTCAGTTCTTGCAGCATTTGTTGTTATTTTACAACAGTTTACAATTTAGTTTTTTGATGTCTTGTTCTTTTTTCATACTCATTAGATGTTGCTTAATCTCCCTAATTCATCATCTGGCCAATATTCTCCACCAAATGCTACCTCAGTTATGTATTAGCCTCTATCTCTGCTTTAGACCCTTCCAGCCTGGTTTAAACCTTCTAGTTTTTACTAGAACTGCTTGAAGGTTTTGTTAATTCATTTGAATCTTCAGTGCTCTTAGATACCTAATATGAGGTCAGCTTCCACATCTCATAACATTAATGGTAAATTAAATCAATTATCTTGGTGCTCTAAACATAGGATAAGATACTTTAATTATCAGTATATTACATCAATGTTTTTCTTCAGAAATTTGCAAGTAAAGTTCTAAAATTAAAAAGCACTAAGCTAAAACAGATCTCTTAAGTTTAAACCCACACACAGTAAGTCCTGTCCAGAATTTCAAAAAGCAGTGAATTTTACAGTAAGTTTGGTAGATAAAACATCATTTTAGTATTCCTTTCTTGTTTCAGAGAGTTAGAGCTGAAGTAAAAATATTTCTATAAGCCATTGCCCATCTTAGGGATACTTTGCATCAATTTTGTGATAAGCAATGGCTTCTTCATAGTCCTTTTAAGAGTAAATGTGAAAGTTTTGTTTTTATGTTTTTTTGATTGTTTTTTTTCTTATTTGTCATTTTTGTTTTTCTCAGATATTGTTCCTTTTTTAATTTTCTGAAATAGGTTTTTCATTTATTTTAAATCTCTGAAATTTCAATTAATTGAATATTAAAAACTTATAACAAATGTTCTAAAAACCATTAGTATATTTATAAAGTAATGGGAATATATTGGCATTTTCTTTTTGTAGTAAAGTAAATTATAATGACATATATGGGTGTGTGTATATATATATATATATATATAAGTTTAATGCATATGCATTAAACTTATGCATATGCAAGACAATGCATATAATCTTTGCAATTATGCTTCAATAAGAATATTTAATCCTGAAAAAAGCATATGAGTAATTAAGGAAGAAAACTCTGTCTACCCCTTTAATTATGTGACAAGTTTACTGTCGTACTATTAACCTCGGTAGAAATCAATGCAAATCTTATTATTTTTGGTCATCACAGCTATCAAAACTCAAAATTATAAAAACGTGTCATGAATGCTTATCATATGTTAATACGCTGCTATTTATTGCCAGCCGGAACGAGCCCCTTGAAGTAAACAAGTAGACTTTCGAAAGCGTTGTGGCTTCAGGCTTGTAATTGATTGTCTTTTCTCAGAGCTCCGGTGTTTGCAGCATATTCAGAAAGCAAGACTATTTGTGTCCCCCCTGAGCAGTGCCCTTTAACTTGAGTAATCAACACCTCAAACACTATGTCAGATGACAAAGTTAATATGATGCAACCTTTTTCTCTTCTCGTTATGTTCTACCTCCCTGGCCATGTTTAAATCGTTAGCTTTTGCTGACTCTGGGGTTCAGGTGAAGGTTTTATCTACTGTAAAGAACAAAATCAATAGTCAATCCAAAAAAATCTCTGCGAGCTGAAAAATACACATTCCCTTCTGACTTTGTGAAATGGCTTTTAAAAGGTCTTGTGGTAACGCTGCACATCAGTCAGGCCTGTGTGAAAGAATCTGTTCATGGAGTAAAGAGGAGCTCTGAAATCATGTCTACTAAGTTACTATAGATTCTAAAGTTTCAGATGAATAGACAGAACATCTGAAAACTTGAATAGATAGAGCTAAAATGCAACTTATTTGATAAAGTTTGTGACAAATTGTGAGGAAGTATTTACCTTTTGTTTTTCTTTTCCAGCTGGTCACTGTGGAATCCCTGAGGGAATTGTGAACGGCCAGGTCATTGGGGAGAACTTTGGGTACCGGGACACAGTTGTATATCAGTGTCTGCCTGGCTACCGCCTCATAGGCTCATCTGTTCGAATCTGTCTCCAAGACAACCAGTGGTCCGGACAGCTGCCAATCTGCATACGTAAGAAAAACCTGAATTTATCTTCTTTTCCTACACTGAAAAAAACATCTACTGTAGATATAAGTAAAAATTTCTTAGATCAAGTGTATTTACCCTTAATTTGAGAAGGTAAATGAGAGGATTTGCCAATGGAATGAGTATTTTTACTCTTAAAATAAGATATTTAGATCAAAAGCACTTAAAATAAGACAATGCAATTGTGTTTTCTTATTTTAAATGTAAATTGTCCTGTTCCATTGGCAAAAAGTCTCTTTTAACTTCTCAATTATATCTCCAAGTTATTTCTACTTATATACTGAGCAATTGAAATGCTTAAACATCAACACCAACGCAAAGTAGATGGTAGGGATTAAAAAAATTGTTGGGGTAATAGCTGTTGTTTAGCGGTCTAAAAAAAGATGTTTGTATTTTGTTTTGGTGCTCCTAAATGCACAGTAGATGTAGACCGAATCTGCTTTGTATTGTCCAAACAAGCAGCTTTTAACCTGAAGAGTCCAGGTATTTGTTGAAAGTTTGATTGCCCTCTGGGCCCCCCTGAGGTGAAGAGCCCAAACCACTTGAAAATCACTTCAGCAGCATACGAATGAAAAACACCTCATGTTGGGAAGATTAAAATCTACTGTGTGGCAAACAGCTTCCAAGTTTCTTTAAATAAAATTGACTGAATAACAAGTTAAAGCAAATTTTTAGGCATGCAACAAGTACAGCCCGTCTTCAAATAGTCGTAAAAGCTGGTGTAACTTGATAAAATCCAATCGCCCTTGCAATGAAGCTCAGCACAGTTTGTTAACCTAGTCAATAACAGAAGAGGATAGAAGCTCAGTTTCAAATTGAACTGCCTCAAAAATAGAATGAAGACAGTGAGGCTTATCGACGAAGACATGTTTTCAAAGCGGGGGTGAGGGAGAGTCGGTCAATGAGGGATAACTAAATCAAAGTTTATTCTTGGATGTAACACAGCTGAGCAGATCATTAAAACAAACGTCTTTGTCTTGGACAAATCCAGAAAATGAAGCAACTATATACGACTCCTGGATGCTTTGATGTACATGTGAGGAATTATTTATTAACTTTTAACCTTTTCCTGAGTGCAAACTTAAGAAAAAGTCATGCTTAAAATGTGAACTCATGTTACAATAGTTCCAACTTTTTGCTTTCAGTTGTGTTCAGACTTCTATTAATGTTAGTATCTTAAATTGAGACATATAAAAATAATGTAACAGACTAAAAGAGACCACTAAAGTGCTAAATAAAGCTGTTTGTGCTCTGCTTCTTTATCAATTTAGGGGCCCCAAAGCGAAAGACATTGAAAATCACCATTTAGATGAATAAACCTGTTATTTCATGCTGACCAGTGGGACATCAAAAGAAAACTCATGACTAAAAAACATGTCTTCTTAGCTTAAAAACCTATGCTCACCTTCTTTGACTATATCCGTGCTGCTTGTTCCATGTGTTACATATGTCATCTTTCAACTATGGCATGTTCCGAAGGCCATGTTTTTTTTGTCATATCTTTCGAGTTAAAATAGTATTTCATTGGAGAGGAACTTAAGAAAAACAAAAAATGTTCTTCTACTGTATTTACTTTCACGTCTCTCAACACCTTTGGAGGCTTAGCAGATATTTTTTTAATTAAGAGCACTGATTCTGTCCTCTTCAGTGTTGCCATGAAGCACAGATCCCTTAAAAAAAAAAAACACATTTCTGAAAAAGAAATTCGTACAACAAATCTTATCACAACAGAGTCATGCACATTACGATGTTTCAAATGATACAACATCTTTATGCTAGTGTTTTAGAGCAATTTTGCTTGAAAGGCTCCAATGTGTGAAAAAAAATGTATATATATATATATATATATATATATGATACTTATTTCTTATTTCTTATTCTTAAGTAATTTTGTTTAATCATATTTGTGGAAATGCAATATTTTCCATCCAAATTGGGTGTAAATTTGCAGATGGAACAGCATCTTCAGTATTATTTATACAAGTTTTGCAAAGTAAAGTATTCATGATGAATACTCTTGATAACTAGCACAGCTGTTGCGTGCTCTGCTTTTCAGAAAATGAAAAAAAAAAGACACCTGCAGGTTTGCAGCCAGTGCTACTCAGGATCTGCAGCCTCACACCAGAAGCCTTAAAGAGCCAGAGGGACAAATTTGTCTTATTGGTCTGGGCTGAGATTATTATTGGGGCTTGAGGACACAACTGAAGGCTCTGATGTGTCCAGGCTGCTGTGGAAAATCCTCTAAAATTGGGCACTTGCTTTGAGTGTCATGAATTTTTTTAAGCCACACAGATAGCATAGTAGAGGTGGCATTGATGAGGCCAATTATAGGGCCTAGGTTCCCCAAAGCGACAGCGCCAATTGTTGACTAAATTAGGAAGACAGGGATGGAGTCCATAAAAGGATTTGCGGGGGCTCCTGTATTTTAAATATGACCTGCAAACAAACAAAACATTTAATAAGATGATTTTTGTATACTTTTGTGAGGGCACATTAACACTTTGGAGGGCAAATGCCTGTGACAGCATGTGCATTGATGGGATGGTCTGTGCATCTCTTGGCATGTTGGGGAGTCTCTCTGAGCTGTAGCTGTTTTTATTGAGGTTATTCATGCAGGATTTATTGAGGGAAATTATTTTACAGCCAAATTATACTGTAATTATGGAGATGAGAGGCTCTTGTTTAGAGACACAAACAGAGAATGATGATGAGACGATGAAATGTGTTTGAATATGTGCGTGTGTGTAGCCACAGGGCCTGCTGGCAGTGTCAGATGGCTGCATATCTGCAGCATGCAAAGTAACTTCTGATTCTCCCTGATCAAGTTGCTTTGCTTCTGCCTCTCTCTTGTGGCCTCTCAATTTCATTTCGCTTAACTATATGCTTTCCTTTCCTTTTTCTCTTGATGTGTCCACTCTTCCTCTCTCTTCTCCTTTGCTTTATTTTTTTAACCACCCAGCAATCATCTGTTTTACTTTGGGTGGGCTTTTCTCTTCTCAGATAGATTTCAAACTGGGCAGTTTGAGAGGGGGATGAAAGAGAGACTCTGCCAAAAACTGTAGGATGTCTGTTTACTCAATCACCAGACAGACACTGAGAAGTTTTACTGAACAAAGTAACAAGATGAATAATTATAAGGCACAATGACAGACGGAGGAAACTGACAGTAGATGTAAAATATAGCACAAATTGATGACTTCAAATTGAAAGTATTCACATTTAAAATGTATTAAATCTCATGGAGATTTGATAACTGCAGTTCTATAATCTATTCATGGTACCAGGATCAAGCTAGGTCCTCACTGAGCCATTTTAGTCACAGTTTCAGTTGTTTTAATTATGTTAAACTGCTTTGTAAAAGTATTTGCATCTCATTTCACATTTTGTCTTATACATCTTATAGTTTATTTCCTCATTAAGTGATTCATGATTTTCAAGCTAAATAATAAAATTAGAAATCCAGTGTAGTTCGTTCTGACACAGATTCATTTCATTAATCCCACTGAATTACAGCTGCTCTGTAAGGTTTGTCGGGAGATTTAAAGTAAAGTTCGGTTATCAATTAGTATTCAAAGCTTGGAACATTTCAGAGTATTAAAAATATGGAACAACTCCGAACCCAGATAGACACGGTTACTTACTGACATGATCTGAAAGGTATGAGGATTATGATAGAACTTCATTATGCAATTCACTAATTTAGCCTATAAAGAGGAAGGGAAAGATTATTTAATTGCTGTATAAAAACCAAAAGGACCACTTCCCTAGCAGATGGCTGTAGGCCATTATCAGTTTACCAGAGATTTTCTAATGGAAAAAAATGTTTAATAATGACAGCATCGAGATGTGTGGGTGCTTCCAGGAAGCGGGGTAAGGGAAGGTGTTGAGAGTTCATGGAAAAATAGATTAAAGATGTAAAATCAGTACAATCCTGGAAGAACGTGCCTTGAAAATTGAGCAGAGGTTTATATTGCTGTAGGACACGCCCAAATACAAACTGCATGCAAGGACCTGAATGAAATGGTTTAAAATTACATAAATTATTTTAGGAAAAAGATCTTCGATGGCAAACCCTAATATAAAAACCAACCCCAAAAGATTTCAAATGGCAATTGCAGTAAAAGTTGGTTGTACAAAGTATGCATAAGAAAACTACAGTAATATGCTTGCCACACTTTATTTCTATTTGTAAAAGAGAATAAAGGCTAAATAGAATTCCCTTTTCATTTCACTGGTTAGCACTGCTTTCTTTTAATCCTTCACACAAATCAAACTGATTATCACCTAAATGGAGCCCATGCAGCCATGCACCACGGGAGAGCAGCATTGACTTCTCAATCAAAACTTACTGAAGATCTCAGGCAGGTGACATGATAGAAACATGATAGAAAAAATACATTATCTCAAATTTAAACATCTCTAGGAATCTAACTACCGGTTTAAAAGCACAGCTGACAGCACCTCTTCGGTTTTTTTGGGTGGTAATATGTGGATGTTATGTTTAGTTTTGTTTTAGCTGGGGTGAACTTCGCTGTGATATATCTTAGGTTTCGTAGTAGAAAAAATGACTAATGTTATCAACATTCACTGTAAAAAGATAAGGGCTGTTGTTTAATCGAAGACACAGAGAGAAGTGCAAAATAAAACACGTAAAATAAAAGCTTGTTTTAAAGCACTGTCTACAGTGTTATGGGATTTTACAGTTATGTTTTAGAATGGACTTGTAAGTTTAATTTGTATTTTCAGAGCTTGCTAGTTGTGAGCAGCATTGACTTCTCAGTCAAAACTTACTGAAGGGTTGTTTTCTAATTAATTAGAGAGATTTGAGAACATGGACTTTAATAGGGGTTTGTTTAATGGAGCCTAGGCAGAAGTTCAACTGCAGAAACTGATTGTTCGCCTACATCCACCTACAACGCAGCCAATTAGCTTTAAACCACACCTCCACCAAAGTCAATCGGCATCCAAAGTTAATCTTAAAAGGCCTCCGACCTGCAACTCATCTGCTACCTAGTTGCGCTGTCTGACTTCATTCAGATGACCCCGTTTCAACCCACCTCCATCCCCTCCACCATCGTACCTTAAACTTAATTGGAGGTTTCATTACTCCCGGACTCTTGCTACGTTCCGCATCTCATTTCAACCTGTCCGGTAGAAGGCCGCCATGTTGAGCCTGGTTCTGCCAGACGTTTCTTTCCATCGGGGAGTTTTTCCTCTCCACTGTCGCTTCATGCTTGCTCATCATGGACAGGTTCTCTCATCCTGTGTTATCCACACAGGACCTCCATCGTCCAGGTCACTTAGTGACGCTCTAGTATCAGCTCACGCAATCAACTAGATGTCCCCATAAAGCTCAGCACACCGTCTCGCTAACCAGCAGTCTACAGACTGACAAACTTCTTCTATCTCCACTCCATCACCAGTTTCAGGCCTGGGGGGAAATAGCCCTATTCTTTGCTCCTGTTCATGCATATCTATCAAAATTCAGCGCTATGTTTCCTGCAGAGGTCTGAGCGCAAAAGACCAAGTAAATTAATCAATACATTTTTTCTAATTGTCTATTCTCTTGTGTGAGTTTTTCAGATTGAGCTCAAGTTTTACATGTAAAATAATAAAGCCAGTATCAGAGAAAGTTGAAAGAGGCAGGAAGCCATGAAGAGAGAATGATAACATATAGATTCCCATCTAGTATAATGTCAATATCAGCTATTCTAAGACATTTTTGCCCCAAATAAAGATAGTTTGTGATAAATACAGCACTATTGGCATTTAGTTAGATGTTAACATTCATAAAAGGATTATATTAGGATGATAGCAGGTTTTCATCTAGGAATAACCAGCTTCTTAAGAGTATCTGATACAAAAGCCTTACCTGCTAGTTTTTTGGAAGTTTTCAGTTTGGTATAGGCCTACGCTCTAGTTAGTTTTGAGGTGATTGAGATAATACTATATCTATTTTACAATAATAGAAGACTGATTGAAGGGACAATAGTAAAATATGAAGAGGTAATAGAGATGAAAAAAGACTGATAGAAGAAAAATGGCGAAGGGAGAAACAGGAAGAGTGGTAAACAAGTACAGTAAAAAGGAGGAAAATAACAGATGAATTATGGAAAGAAAACTAGGAGGAAAGAGGAAGAATCAAGGGAAGAAGGACCGCACCATTGCATGCAATACTCTTTTACTGCTATTATTTTATTCATTACAGCCTACTTAAGAAGTACTAAAAAGAGTAAGGAGAGAAACATTCCTGCTGTTAAACTTGTTGGTTTTTAAATGTGAGTGAAATGGAAAAATTATTTAAATCCAGACTGGTTGAGTTTCTACATTTCATCTTTAAATCATTTTATTCCTTTTCATCTCCAAGCTGGAAATTACCCTGGATTTGATACCTGAAGGCTGGTCACCTTATTTTGCAATGTAATCCAGGTTTATCATTATTGAAAATTTTTACTAAAAAAGAAAAGACTAAAAGATAGACAAGCATTCATTGATTAAAATGATACACATACCCAAAACTAAAAGTGTCTAAACACTTTTCTGATCATTAACTTGTATGGAATTTCAACATCTGAACTTCTTCCCTTAGCCATCAGCTGCGGCCATCCAGGAAGTCCCATCTACGGACGCACAGTAGGAAACGGCTTCAACCTTAACGACGTGGTCAGCTTTGTTTGCAATCGGGGTTACGAAATGGAGGGGCCTGCACGTGCCCAGTGCCAGGTCAACCGCCAGTGGAGCCACCCGCCCCCAACGTGCAAAGGTGGGGAGAAAAGTTAAGTGTATTGACCCCTACCTTTCTTTTTTTTTTCTTTGGTTTAACCTCTGCCCATGAAAAAAGAATCTACTACAATTACTGCCTTCTCTTGTTTTTGAGGATATGTTTTCAATTCTCTTTCCCCCAGACTTCCCTTCTGTTTTTTATTTTTTTTTTATTTTAACTTAGTTCTACCATCAGTTATGTTTATAAAAACACAAACATATTTTAACTTGGGAAAAAAAAAACTCTTAATTTGTGTAATGTAGTTACTGTACACTCCTGGCAGCAAAGCAGCCTCTCAGCCAGGGGCGGACCAAGAGGGTTAGCATTAAAAGTTTCTGTCCCTGCGCAAGGATGTGAGATGTACACCCTAATGCCAATTTCAGATCAGGAAAATTCTGGATCAACCTAAAACTGAGATCTGTGTCAGTGATCAACCGATTTAAATAAACTTTACTTTATCTACCACTAATTGAGTAATCAGATATTTAGTGAGAATTATGCCATGGGCTTGGCTACAAAAAGGGTTGTGGTTTGTGTTTTGGTTCAGAGGAGTCAAAGACAAACGAGTGCATATGCATATATATGAGTTTGCACCTCATGTACAATTCTGATCTTGTGTGTGTTAAAGAAAATCCACAGTACATTTTAAGCAATCAAACTAATTGTTTCTTGTTGTTTTTTTTTATATTACTTATATTGTATGTTTTGAAATCATTTAGTTATTGAAAATTAATGCTGCAAATCATTTATTAAGAACCTTAAAGTTCCTAATATGTTAATGTCAAGGAAGTTCTTACTGGTGACAAAGTATTAGGTTATTGAAATTCCTCAATAATTGATGCATATGAAGCTACCTAAGCTTAGCAGTCCTTGTTTTTCAACACTAGCCCTCTTAATTCCTACTACTTTTGTTGCTTATATGATATGTTTACTCCTGTATTGTTTGAAAATTGTTTTCCAAGTAATAAACACCATAAACAAAGGATAAAGCAAATAGAAATGACTCTAAATGGTTAATGCCTAATAACACATGTATTCCTCCTGTCTGTTTTTCTGTTCTTTTGCATGTGTCTGTTTTTGTGTCTCATTGTGTATAGTGGTCAACTGCTCTGATCCTGGCATCCCCGCCAACTCTATCCGTCAGAGTAAAATAGAGCATGGGAACTTTACTTTTGGCACAGTGGTGTTCTATGACTGCAACCCTGGTTATTACCTGTTTGGATCACCGGTGCTGACCTGCCAACCCACTGGACAGTGGGACAAACCTCTTCCTGAATGCATTGGTCTGTAGATCAATTTACTTGTATTACGTCTATCATACAACATTAAGGAAAATAGAGGCTGATCTTTCTGTCTTGATCTGTCTTGACGTGCAGTTGTAGACTGTGGCCATCCAGGTTCTCCACCCAACGGCATGCTGAATGGAGAAAAGTTCACATTTGGTTCAACAGTGAGATACTCCTGTCTGGGTGGGCGGCAGCTAAAAGGAGAGTCTTCTCGGATGTGTCAGCTCAACGGGATGTGGAGTGCCCCCATGCCCTTCTGCTCAGGTAAGCATTTTAAACCTCCAGACTTATAGACTTTGAGGGCCGATTCATACCAGGGGTTTGGATAGATGGCAGTCATGGATGAAAGGTGTCTAAAAACACTACACCTGCCAGAGGGTAAAGGGGGATACCTTTAAATCCAACAGGTACAATTTCTTTGAGCCTTTAAACTTAGTTGGATGGATAAAGAGGGCATAGATGACCATACAGAGGAACAGAAGATAAATGACTGTAGCAGCATCTGTCAGGTAGAAGTATCAGTAAAATGTAACCTTGGCTTGTGCTCCCTCATATATGGACTTTAATTACATGTTTTCTTTCAGTCTAAAACACCTAGTGAACTTAGTTTATTTAATTCTACAAAATGTAAGGCCGTTTAATTAACTTCTGAGGGAAATTGTGAACTCATTCACATAGCCAGGTAAACTGAGGCAGCATCAAAGCCCTCTGACATGCTTTACAAATTCATATAATTCCCTATGAATTTCTGGCAACTGAAACTTATGTTAGTTTTATGTTTGTATCTGCAGACTCTTCCTTACCTTTCATAATGTAAACAAACACTTTAAGTTATATTGTTACCATCAGTTGACTGAAGATATAGAATGATTATGGCACTTACTGACTGAAAAGCTCACATCTGCTGCTTAACAAGCATGGTGAGAATACCTTCCAGACGACTTGACAAAGAATACACTGTTATTTACAGCAATTTCCCAAGGGGAACATTGAGGTGAGAAAGGCTAATAGATTAGAAAGAAATGATTCATGCTTTCTACCTGGCTGGTCTGCACCAGAGTCCTGTGGAGATAACAGTTCAATCTGGGATAACAATGCAAGCTTGGTGATTATGCTCCATAAGAACTGATGAACAATTGTGTATATTTTCTATAAATATTCTTCATGCCGTCCAGAACTGCTGGGTACAGATGTGAAAATCAAACCAAGTTGGTAATTATTTGGTTAGCTCTACAATATGAATTAACCACATGCTAAGATTTGATTTGATTTGGAGTGTTAGGTTTTTTTGGGGGGCTGATATCAAAGATTGCACAGTAATATTTCTAGACTGATTTAACGAAAAACATAGTTGTCTGTCTGTCTGTCTGTCTGTTCTATTTATCCAATCTATCTAGTTATTGTTTAACAGATTTTTTTTTTTTTTTAGGTTTATTGTTCACTGTTTTTTGAATGAATCAATATTTTGGTTTCATAAACTAACATTTCGCTTTATTTATAACATTATAACCTACAAACTGGCACAACGAATTCCTTTTGCCAACATTTTTTTATGCAGAATCAAATGGGTATAAATAGGGTTAACTAAACATATGTAAACTTTATCCTTTGAGGGAATACAGCTCAAAGCTCTGATTTGCTTTCTAACTTACTGTAAATTGATGACATAGTTTATGACTTGTATTGTCCCCTTAATATCACCTGTAACACAATTGTAGCTGGGCGGCACCATCACCAAATCACATGACAGCGCATTTGTTGCACAATCACGCTAGCTTTTGTTGAATAATAAATATTATTGATTTATGTGGACATGCAAAGTAGCAAGACATTTTTTTCTTATTGTTATGATCATAATCGAAACCAGAAATTCAGGTCAGATTACATGAAACTAAATGTAAAGCATTCATTGCTGAACTTTAAAGGTGCTGCTAGGAGGATTTCATTACCTTTAAACAGAGCCAGGTTATTCGTTCCTCCATCTCTAGTCTATACGCTTAATTAAACTCATCAGCCATCGAGTGTGGCTTGACCTTTAAAGGACAGCAAAAGAATGCATTTCAGGGAAAAAAGTTGAATCCCTTCTTTAATACCCACTAACTCTAATCTTAGTTACTGCCATTTGAAATAAAAGTTAAAATAAAGAAGAGTGATCCTCAGAGTGCAGTAGTCCTTCAACCGTGCTACGTGTAATGTTTGTGGTATACTTTGGGAAGAAATATGCTGCACATGATCCACTTCTGGAAAGCTCATGAGCAATTTAAAGTTCTAAGTATATTAAAAGGTTCAAGTGCATCATTTGTGTGTGGGAACAGATTAAAGATACAAACTGTTTTTCAGTAGACAGGAAAGCCCTAAACACTCACATAAAGAGGAATGTTTGAAGTTTTTTTTTTTGACAGGCAACCTGTCGTACCTTAAATTTACATTCTGCAATGAAAGCAAATGGTTACTTCAAGACATAATTAGTTATTCAGAGCTAACAGAAATTATTCAGGTGCTGGCATTAATCTTATGCAAAAGTTACCCAATGCAAATCTCTTGCCATTAGCAAAATGGGCAGTGTGGGCCAGCAATGTTTGGGAAGAAATATGTTTGTCTCTACTCCTGCATTGGTGTGAAAATGTGTTTTTTGAGTATATTAGTGTGTATGCACCCTCAGGGGCATGCTGCGTACGGCCAACAGGGTTTTCGCTGATCTAGCTGTTGTACAAGGGCAGAGCCAGGAACCCCCACACACATATACCCACACTTACACAATCTGCCACCCAACTACCCATCAGTTTGCATAAACATACACACATACAACCTTAGAGCAGGCATATGGGCCTTGTCATAAACATAATGTCTGCAACCTGCAGCTATTTGTAAACAGGCATTTTACAATGACAGTAAGGATGCTACACATTTAGCCTCTTTTTACTTTCTGTACAAAGTAATAATGGAGGGATTGCAGATGTTTCTCAGTATTTTTTGCTCTTTAGGTGATATTGCTGGTTCTTGTGGCGACCCTGGCATTCCCTCCCACGGTTCAAGGGAGCAAACAGATTTCAGGATCCGTTCCAAGGTTTTCTTTACCTGCTCAGAGGGTTACGAGCTCATTGGTTCTTCAGAGAGAATGTGCTTCCCCAATGGGACCTGGTCCGGCACTCAGCCGTTTTGTAAACGTAAGATTACTTTGACTAACCCAACACAGCAACTTTACTTCTCTTCAGTCATCTTTGTGTCTGTTTTGATAATCATGCATTTTTATGTCATGTTTTTTTTTTACCAGCTGTGCAGTGTGGAAATCCTGGGACTCCAAGTAATGGCAGAGTATTTCGTCTTGATGGAACAACATTCTCTCACTCTGTCATCTACTCCTGCATGGATGGCTATGTGCTTACTGGTGCCACCACAAGGCTATGCCAGGCTAACGGGACATGGTCAGGGGCACAGCCAAACTGCACAAGTGAGTTATCTGCTTTGCTTCATAAATCAGCTCATAAATAATCAAACAGACTCTCCCCTCTGGCAGGGGGGTGCAGTTACAGTAATCAGGATCAGAAAAACAGCCTCTTCCCATCTGCTACTTGCCTTATAAACAAAGTTTAGGCCCCCAAAAGCAATTTTCCAATTGATGTACAAAAAAGAAAAGAAATCTCAGCACGTGTGTATGTATATCCCATTGTATTGCATTTATACTGTTCTTGCTGTTTAGATACTGCCGCTACTCCTCATTCACAGTGGGAATTTGTTTATTCTAGTTTATATATTCCCATATTTCTTTATGCTAACTATATGTTTGCTTGTCTATGTGTTGCACCTCATTGCCTACACAAATTCCTTACCGAGATTACTGTACGAGTTGTTCTCCAAAGCCTTTTGTAAAGCTCCGTTGTGTTTCATTTCAAATTATTCTGCAACACTATAAGGCCTGAGTGATGAAATAAAGCTCAAGTATTTATGCTCCTGCTACTCAGTTTATAGCAATTCATGAATAACCTTGATGGTTGTTTACTTTAGCTAATTTGCCTTAGGAACCCAGAGGGAAAACTCCAACAGAGTAAATAACCATAAAATTTTAAAAAAGTCTCTCCCTGTGTAAAATATGACCAAAGCCATGCTTGAGTAAGTATAAATCAGAGCAGCCTGTTTCTGGTTTGCTTGCTTGCACTGCGTTAAAAAATGTATGCAATAAATACACCCTAATGCATACTCATACAGGAATTCACAGTTTATGCAGCCTGTCTAAAAGAGACATCTTTCTGAGTGATGTCTGCATTTCCACTGAAATTTCTGACTTTAAACGCATTTATGTAAAGAAATAAGCCATAAAATATCCAGCAAGGCGGAATAAAAGGACAAAGACACAGAAGTGCTGAGAAACCAAAATCCAGAGTCAGGGCTTCATGGAAGTAAAATACAGTTTATAAGAATCTCTTTCTTTAGGGAAAATGGCTGGCTTTTACAGTAGATTACACCACATCTATTAAGAGGCATGACAGAATGTGGGGTGGGCTTAAAAGCAGTAAAACTGCCTATTAGACTATGAAGGACAGTGGCCTAAAAGTACTGGATGGGGAATTCTAATGTCCCTTAAAACTGTCCCAGGACATTCACAATTTTTAATATAATTTCCCTTTTAGATATTGTGGGGCCCTTAAATGGATTCTAAATATATTATTGCAATTTATTTTGCTAAAAGAAATAATAAACACTAATTAAGTAATCTAAAAGAAATTGGTTAAACCTGTTTTCTTGACTGTTTTAATGCATCTACACAGTGCAATGTAATTGTTTTCAACATTGAAAGGTATATTCATCAAAATAAACTTTTGTTTGTTTGTTTTTTTACGATTTCTATTTAGATTTTGTTGGGTTACTAAAATTTACAGGAAACACAAAGAAAATATTTTTTATATCGACACCATAATACATGATATATTACAACAATAAATGTTCACACATGCCCAAAGAAGTTTGGGTGGATGGGGGGAACGCCACTTTAGCCATTAAACTTTTAAAAAATAGGTTTACAATAACACCTAAAAAAGGAAATTTCCCCACAAAAATTTTCTTTATCTGCGTTAAAGTAAGAAACAGCTCATAAACATTTAAGGCAAATATAAGGAATTTACAAGTTTTAATTTTCAGCAGTGTTTAGAATTATAGCAAAGATGGTTATATTAATTTTTGGGAGATAGATAAAAAATAAAAATAAAAAATTATGAATAAAAAGAGCCACTCCACTAAATTTGGTTTATTTAAAAAGTTATGTTAAACCTTGAAGTTTCAAATTATATCTAACAATCAGTTATTAAAAAGTGAGACTTTGTCATACCCTTCAAACTCTCCTTTTCTTCTTCCTTCAACGGGACAGTTTTAAGCGAAAAAGATCTGTTGAATGGCAAAAATACATTCTACATATTTATTAGTAAAATTCTTTTTGGAAAAACACTACATATTTTCAGCATATTGAATAAGAGAGTGTTGGACATGCTTCCGGATGAATAATATTTCTTATATAGATTTTAAAATACGGATTAAAAAATTCCCAAGGTCTTTGGTTTTAAAAGCTCCAATGTGAGTAATTTCTTCTTCACACTTTGAAAGTTTGTTTTTCTGACTGTTAAGTTTGAATTTTGAACTTAATGGTCTAAATGATCCCAGCAAAACTATTTCAACGTAATGATATCATGGGATCATCATAATTTTTACCAATTACTTCATAAATAAAGTTCTTTTTTCAGTGATGCCTTACTCTCCCCGCTTCTGGATCTACCTTATTAATTACTTTACCAACGGTAGAGGGCCTTTTCTCAACCTCTATCACTTTGACTGTGCCTTGGTCTACCTCTTCCTGCCCATGTTTTATAAATCAATTGAAAGCCAAGTTTGTAGATAAAGAGAAAATTACCAAATTAGAATTCCAATTATCTTGTCCTGAAGCTTGATGAGAAGTAAACATCAGCTTGTCATTGTGTTAATTACGTCAATGCCACTTGTGCCCTTTCCAACAGTGATAAACTGCGGGGATCCTGGGGTGCCGGCTAACGGCCTTCGCTACGGTGAAGATTTCACTATCGGACAGAACATTTCCTTTCAGTGCCAGCCGGGATACAGAATGGAGGAGGATGGATCACCTGTACGGATGTGCACACAAAATGGGACGTGGAGTGGAAACATTCCCCTATGTACTGGTAAGTAACCCCTCAAAATCTGTAATGCAAAGAAACCATGATGATGTCATACTAAAAAAGGTTTTATTACAACTAGATAAGATATGGATTACAATATATTGTTGTTGCAGTGAAATGTTTATAAGTTGCTTAATCACATTTTTATAATTCATATTTAGCTGTGAGGTCTTAACTTCTTTTTCTTTTGTCCCAGCGGTGACGTGCCCGGCTCCCCCTGCAGTCAGCAATGGAGTATTGCAGGGCAGTGATTTTGAATGGGGCAGCAGTGTGAGTTACAGTTGCTCACCAGGGTATGAACTCTCATTCCCAGCCATCTTGACGTGTGTGGCCAATGGCACCTGGAATGGCATGCTCCCTCAGTGCCTACGTAAGCATCACCCTATATCCACGTATTTACTTTCTGCATTCCTAGCACCTCAACTATTTTATCTATATTTGCGTCTTTGCATTTGCAGCCAAGTTCTGTGGCGACCCCGGTACTCCAGTCGGTGGTTTCAGAGAGGGTCGGAGTTTCATTTATCAATCCGAAGTGTCCTTCAGCTGCTCTCCTCCTCTGATACTGGTTGGCACGGCAACCAGACTCTGCGAGAATGACGGCACCTGGAGTGGAACTCAACCTCGTTGCATTGGTAAGTTTCACAGTTAGTTTACTAAGGATCCAACATATTTCATGACACTTAAATATTGTCCCAACATTTTGTCAAAACCTTTTTTTTTTGTAAGAGAGATGTTTATCTTCAAGCCAAATAGAGGAAATGATAAAAAAAAAAGATTTAATAGTCCTATTAATACTAATTTCCTCTTTGGTCATGAAGTTTAAACTTCACCATTCTATACTTAAAAGACTTTTATTCTAACTATAAATGGACACTTTTGAGTCTTCCTGGTAAAGCTTAAATTATACACAATTTTAATCGCAATCAATGAACAGCAATTTTAAAAGTCAAGCAAAACCTTTAAAAAAATGCTGTACCGATTCCTACTACTAACATTAATTTAACACCACCAACATCCAGTCAAAAGTTTAGCTCTGGTTGGATTGGAGCTGGTCACTGTTTGGAAAGTTTGTGGCAGGTGAGGATTTATGCTGATATTGGCTAATTTCTTCATACTGTTTTTAACTGACAAGCATTTTATCTTTCATCCATATGTCAATATTATAGGTATGTGAAAGACGCTGTGCGATTATAAAAAAACAGAGACCACAATCATTATGATTGAACAGAAAGCCTCATCTTACACACTCAGGCTTTTTTAGTCAAGCGAAAAGAAAAACTACAGCACGGTATGATAGTCAAGTATTAATGCAGTCCTGATGTTGTAAATGTGTTTCCTTATGATTTGTAACACCTTACACTCTGTGTCAGACAGAAGTATTTGCAGAACCCGACAGCTGACTGCCTTGCGTTATTGCAGTTTGTTTAACTCATTTTCACTCTGTCTACTCCCCAGTTGGTTTGGAGCCTATCAGACATTGTTTGTGGCAACTGTTAATTTGCACCAATGCCTAATTATTGACTGTGTGCATCGCAGTTATTACATAAGCTACATTTTACTTTATACGTAAGTCTTGTGGAGAGCAATGTCCCCCCCCCCCCAAAAAAAAAAGGTTTTATCAAATATCATAACAAATAGCAACTCTGAGCTCATCTCTGACAACCTCCTAATTAAAAGGGAACCTTCAGCAGGAGCCTTGAAGTATTACTTAGAACTTAGTTAATGGTGTAGTGGAGGAATTGTAATGGATTTTTATAAAATAAAATGCACACGCACAACCCTGTACCTGCTGCCAAGAGGGAACGCCTTTAAACGGGTGCAAGAGCATTCACAAGCCCATTTCTCCTCGTGCACATTCTCTTTAAAAGTTGCTATTAGCATCACTCATACAAGCTTACTTTCCAAATGAAAATGAGCAATTTTTTCACTATGCCAGACTCAACATTGGTAAGTGAAAATGAGGACGGGCACTTACGTAAACATATCAACAGAAGGATTAACAATTAGGAGCACCACTTATTTTGATGATCCACCTAGAAAAAGCATCCTCCACTATAGTGAAATTTTCAGATTGGTAACTTTATTTGATAAAACAGTTGTTGTTTTTTCCACTGTGATCTATTTAGTATAGTATATCTATATAGTATTACCTTTTTTCAAGCCCTGTGAATAAATTATCACATGCATTTCATCTATGCATTTATAGTTTCATGAATTGGCTGCCCCTCTTTCCAGCTGTACCTCGATTCACTAAAAGCACTGCAGCCGACTGTTTCACAAAGGTCATTTTTGAGTCTGCAGATTTAATATTATGGCAGCCTGCTATTTCACAAGTCATTGTCAGTAACAAATTGCACATCTGTATGCTCTTGACTAAACTGAACGCCACTTGATCCTCTGAATGAAATGTATGAAAAGCAGAGTGTGTGGGGGATGGGGAATTGTTAAATGCGGCCTATATGCTGATTTGGATGAAGAGACGTGGAAACATGTTGCTTCTCTGCAGCCGTGTCTTTTTCCTTTAATTAATGCGTACATCTGTCTCAGTCTCAGCTGTTGTACCCACTCCTGGGACAATGCACCATGTTGGTAGGTTTTAGAAAATATATATACTGACCGGGTTGCTATACATACTGGATTAAAAGATTGGAATTGGATTTAAGCACTTCAGGATTTTAACAATTCTAGGGAAAGAAAATAGTGTTGACAAAAAAATATTATGCATTTCATGCTCTACTCTGTGCCCCATGCTCTTTGTTCTCCATTACGTAAAAGACTGTTCGAAGAAAGCTGTTTGAACTGTGCTTAAAGACTGCTTCACAGTTTTATGTAATATTACATATCTAAAACCTAATGCTTGGCTCCTGAGAATAGTTTAAGTAAAGCTTTTAGCTCAGTTTAGCTGGGATGTAGGAGTTACCTTTTAAAGAAACCAAAACAAAGGGTTTGCAAACAAGGAGTGGCACCTTAGAATTTTTTCCAATGAGGGAGGTCAGGGGCTACCCACATTGGACCGTTAACAATCTTGCATTGACTGACTAGAAAACTATTACCAAATACTAAAGTAGGAACTAAAAACAGCGGTCATATGAGATTTGTCCTCTGTTTTATTTTTACAAATTCATGTTTTAGACTGGCCATCAGAAGAGCTTAATGCATTAATATTATCAGAGGTTTGATGGTCATGCTATTTGATCTAACAACATTACGTTTGCAAGTAACCAGGAGATGAGAACTGATGTTTTGGACACACCTGATCTATAACAACAGACCTCCTTTCTCCTGGCAAGTGTGAAAAAAAATTCTGCAAACAAATTTAAAAGAGTGGAGCTTTCACGGATGGAATGCTAGTTGGAGTCTGCAAGGTATAAATAGACGTATAGATAGTTTAGATTAATTTCAGAGTTAAGTTATTGCACTCAGCTGCATAAAACACTGATACCATCACTTTTATCTAACAGAAATAGATGAACTTCAGTTCACAAGCTCGATCATCACCTGTCGCAGCCCTCTGAAGAGTTTGACATTTTATATGTTAGCTGATCGACAGATCAAGTGCCAATCATTTGCACGCAGAACTGTGGTTTATTTCATTCTAAGTATAAATTCGTTTTTCAAAACAGCAACTGCACACCATAAATATGGCAAAATCCAACCAGCTTTGGTGGCTGCATTCACTGTTAGTCAAAAAAGGCAGGTGCATTTGCTGACACGTGGAAAACTCAGCTTTGACTGTTAAACGGACAGCTTAGCACATCCAGGGGGCCGCTAACGGGCCAATGTTGGAAGGAAAAAGCTTCCACTATCCAGCTTTAAACAAGCTCCTGCTAAGCATGGATTAAAAAAAAGAGGTGCTGAGAAATGTTGCAAATGTGTTGGATTATAAGGGAGAACCACCTCACACTCACATATGTGATTCACAGCAAGCCAGTATAAAGGATGAATTGTGATCAGTTACAGCTTTTTTTTGTTGCCGGAGCAGACTTGTGACTACCCTCATAGCCACTGATAAGCCGCGCTGCACATCTAGCACTTTTACAGCTGCAGTAAAGTCTAATGTTGCCTGTAAAATTGATGATCTAAAAATAGGAGGCTTCTTGAGAGGGTGCAGGCGTAGCGACTCAATCCTCAACTTGTGGGAAATAAGAAATCTTTTGACTTACATAATTATTTTATAAGTTCGAAGCTGTTGCTCATTCTAAACTAAACACGGAAACATACTGTGATTCTGACTGCTGCTGCCTTTTTTTTCTGCAGGTGGAAATGTAGTCAGAGAGGAGTGCTGAGTGTTAAGCGTATGGGTGCAGTAGTGATTTATTAGTGTGTGATTGCAACTGTATTTTAGAGTGCGATGTGTATTACGATGTACTGAAGCAGGATGAGTTTTGAGGCAAAGCAGCCTGCTCTTTAAATAAGACAGATGGGGTAATGGGGGGGGGGACCAGAGAGGGAGGTAGCGGCATAGAAACAGAAAGAAAGACTTAAAGAGTGGATACAAAAAGGGGGAGAATGCGAAAAAACAACGAGAGAGAGAAAGAGCGGATAGAGAAGTACAGGAAGAAGAAGGTGGAGAGTGAATCTGTCATTTTAGAGGCTGTATTGAATGGAGCTCTGCGTCAGGATGTGCTCTACATGCTGATGACCCTGCCACACACACACATTCACACACACTGACTGAACATCTTGCTTCGTTTTCCCATGAAGCACTACTGCCCCCTGCTGTACTGACTGGTCTCCCCCTGTTACCATGACAACAGGGGGATAGAAATGAAGAAAGCAAGAGGATTTAGAAATGTTGCAGTTAATTTATTTTCCTCCTAGATTTCTTTATGTGTCTGCTCACACTGTTTACTTTCCTTTACAGAACCAACCAAAACCAGCTGCGATAACCCAGGAACGCCTCGCTATGGCTCCTTAAATAGGACCTACGGGTTTAAGGTAAAATATATATTGCCTGACACTCAAACTTCTCAATTATTTAATGTAATATCTCAATAAAAGTTATTTCCTTTGTTGACATGTAAATAAAAAGTATATTCGTTGGTGTTTTTTTTTTGTTTTTTTTCATGTTTGTAGGATGTGAGTTTGAGAAATTCTAATTTTGGATTGGCTTAAATGATATGAGATACTAAGAACTGGAAAACAATGATTTTATCATATTGCAGCCACAAACTTTACTTATCTTTTAGGATTTTTAAATATGACAGAATAGCACCAATTAGTGTGTCATTATGAAATAGAACAAAAAGTGCAACAACTTGTTACTGAAAAGAAGCAGTAAGGAATGCATTATAAATTTAGAACTATTGGAGACCATACAGCTCTCATTTTTGTAATAACAGCACATAAGTCATTCAAGGTATGTCTCTTTTCAGCTTTTTCCTGTTTTTCTCTACACAATAAACCAATTTCCTGTCATATTGAAGCGCACCACTTTTAAACTCTAGACATGGGCTGGATCTAGACATCCAGTTAGATTTTACTTGGGCCTTGACATTTTAATTCTAACATATAATTTAAATAATTTAATTGTAGCCCTGCTTGTATATTTAGTGCCAAACCTGTGAAGATTCTCAGTCATCTGGGTTATGGGGCATGTGAACTAAACCACTCTGATTAGGTAGTTAACGTCCCACCAGAACCCCCTAATGACCCCCTATGTGACTGCCTTGGCCAATCCGGTGGGAGGAATCAGATCCTCGTTTTTGTCCCTCTAATTCTTTGTTATAACTACAGTATAATAATCTCAGTGCTCCCTACCACTAGTTAGAAATGAATAAGTCCTCTTGGATGAGAGGCAAAACATCTTCTAGAAAACTTCATGTCCAGTTGCCCAAACTGAACTTTTTCAAGCTTATATTTAGTGCCATTGTTCAGCTGATAGGTGAAACCAAGTTTATTCTAGCCTCTATATCGGTTGCCTTTCCAAATAATTATGCTACCACCACTGTTTTCTCCAATGTGAATAGTTTGTACAGGATAATAGTTTTACATTACTGGCTACTACTTTGGCTGTGTCCGTCACTTGGTGCAAAGTACAGTAAAACCAGCTCGTCCTTTAAGTTCTAAGACAAAGGGTTTAATTGGGTTGGGGTTGCCTCCTTGCTCTGTAGGCTTTACTGATTTATTGTAAGAACTGACGGATTAGGTGCTGTTGGATTATAGCTTCGAAAGTTGTTTTGCTGTTTTTGTTCCATTTTTTGTTTACTTTTTGCTATGCTATCCTAATTCCCAATAAAATCCTGTGATCTCTCTGGTTGTAAGGTGAAATATGTGAACGCACTTTTACAAGTCATTTTAAAGAGAGCTTTAAAAGTAGCAATGAAATAGTTTCAAGTATAACTCAGGCTGTCCCTGCTAAAAAAACATAACGACCCTGGCCACAGTATTAGTTCTCCTGGGAGAACTTCAAAACTATGACAACAAAGAAACACAATCCATATTTCATTGGTTTTACTTCCTGCTGTCTTTTTCCTTGTATCTAGGTGGGTAGCGTGGTGTCATTTCAGTGCCAGTCGGGTCATTTGCTTCAGGGATCTTCATCCAGAACCTGCCAGCCTGATCTTACTTGGACTGGGACCCAACCTGAGTGTATACGTAAGAAGCATATATGTTTTTTTTTTTTTTTTCCACCTTTTAAACTTCAAAGGCTCCTACTGAAGAGAATACAAATTATTGTTTTGAACCTGCAGCTCATGCATGTAAGCAGCCAGAGAGCCCGCTCCATGTGGATGTGGTCGGAATGGATCTACCCGGATTTGGCTTCACTTTGGCCTATAACTGTCAAAAGGGGTACTTCCTGGCGGGGGGCTCTGAGCATCGGGTCTGCAAGAGCGACGGCACTTGGACTGGAAAGATGCCAATCTGTAGAGGTGTGTGATTCACCTTCTGTCTCTTAGTTACAATATCAGCATACATGGCATTTACTTTGTAGTTTTATAAGAATTATCTTGTGTAAAAAGAGGGGAGCACTTAAGAGTGTTTTTCTCAAGGACAGCCTGTATGGACCATCTGGAGTTATTGTGTTGCTGTGATATTTATTAGTGAGGTGGACAGATGGTGGGCTGCTATAGAATCTAAAGGATTTAATATAAAGGGACAGAAATAATGCCCATGGTTAACAAAGGGATACATGTGTATTTAGGAGCTCTCTGACTTGCCAAAAAGTATTTGCAGAAAGTTTCTCCATAAAACTGAACGCTGGTTTTCAGAGTCCTTATAAATTTGGAAAAATAAAATCTACTCCTCCATGTTTTTTAAGGGTCTATGTTTCTTTCTTCCAATTTTAATACTTTTGTAAAGCTAGATAAATTCTATTCATAAGTTCTAAATTTGTAATGGACTTTTTATATTATGCCACGTTAAAAGGCATACAGGGAAACTGGTCACTGATTTTTAGTTGTAAAACATAAAAGTAGTGGATTAATAACTTATCAAACCAATAGCCTTTGATCTCATTTGTATTTTAAATGTCTACAATCAACAACAAAAAATCACACAAACACAACAAAATGGTAACAAGCTCTGGAAAAAGCTTTATGTTCTTATCTTTAATTCTGTTTTTTCAATTAGTCCACCAGGTCAAAGATTATCTCTTTAATATTTTGGCCTTCTCTGAATTTAAAGTTCTAGGACTTTAAATTTTTTTTTTGCTTTTATCTATTTCCTTATTAAAAACAATGGCTGCTTCTACAAACCATAATTTACAGATTTCACACTCATAATGATGTGCTTTTAAGACATTTTTTATTTATATGCACAATTATCATTGGTCATAAAATCTCTCTTCATTGGTCCGCTTATTAATTACTCAATCAAGAGTGTTTTGTTTTTTCCCCTTTTCAAAATGCTCCTTCCTTATTATGAGTATGTGAGACTAAAAGTTACTGGTGCTGAATTTTAATGTCAACCTTTCTACTGAATAAAATAATTTTTGGGATGTAAAACCATGTAAGTAAGGAAGACATGGTTAAACGTATTTGTGATGTGAAAGTTAACCTTAGATACGCTGCCTTTGTCTCTTGTATGTTCAGCTGGAGAGAAGAAGAAACCTGTGAAAGCTGTGCCTGGAACACCCAGCCCAAAACTTAACGGTCGGTTATTTGTATTACTGTATATCTGCATATTTGATTCCTCTGTCTGTGTATGTTATGTGCTGCTTATTTATTAATTCATCTATGCATCACTTTGTCTGTCTTCCTATCTATCCATCTTCTTTTCTATTGCTCTTCTCCATCCCTATTTATTTTGTTGAGTCTTTATTTTCATCTATGGTTCAACAAAGTTTGCTTTGCTTCTTTTTTTTCTCTACTCTCTACTACACCACAGGGCTGTGTTTCTTACTTTTCGTCTATTTGCGAGGTTTTAATACTCTCCATCCCAGTTCTTAATAATTTATTTTCTCTGTGTGCACAAAGTAGGTTATCTTCTGAAATAATATTGCCTTCCTCTTTGCAACATTTTCATTTAACACTGCTCTTTAGTTTGTTTAATGGTAAATACACATGGGAAATAAACATAGTAGGTTTCATTATTTGCAAGTCTTATTTCCCTTTTATTTATCCAATAAATCTCAACATGATTCGATTCTCTATCAAGGGGTTTCTGCAGAAAATATTAGAAACCTGTAGTTTTGTACACTAAAAGAAGGACTAGTTGGTGCTGCAGGATAGGTGGACTCCTTGTCAGACTTTGAGCACATCTTGCCTGATGATCATGCCAGCCATTGCACGGAATTCCACATTAATACTGCCTTATTAATGTGAGTGGTGCTTCTGAATATTGCTACCACTGGCTTTGCCCCCATGACACAGACACTGGCTGCATATTTTCCATCCAGCCAACACACCGACTTCTACTAAAAGGCCTATGTGTCAAGAATCTCAGCTCATCAGGTGGTGCTTCTCTGCAGATTGCCAGTCCTCTCTTTTAAATTCCCTGTAATTCAATTTCCCTGTCGAAACATAAGATCAAACACTGATAAACCTTTTATCTTTTAATACTTTTTCACATTTCACTTCCTGCCTTTTTTTCTTGTTTATTGAAACCCAAATTAACTCAGTCCTTCCTTCCCCATGGTTCTCATTTCTTCAATTCCTCTTGTCTGCTGGAAGTGGTGCTGGAATAACATCAATCTACAGGATATTTTAAATGCAAAGTTTTTTTTCTAAAATGATATTTTTTTTTTTTGTCTTCTTAAGACCCCTTTCTAAAAACATAACGTGGATCCCCTTTTTTTTTACATAATTGTTGCCTATTTCTCATTTTGCTATATACAGCCATTTTTAAAAGATGAATATATATAAAAAAAAAAAACACACACATTCTGGCTTCGGACTATGACAGCAAAGAACCCAATGACTTTGCTATTTATGGGAGGTTTCCTCCTGCTCTAGTGCTGCTGGACCTCACAGTGCGCTTTGGTTCTGTCGAACATTGTGTCCTTCGGCCTCGCTTAAGGCACCATGTTGGTATCTGTGCCTCACCCCTAAGTGGTCCGATCCCTATCAAACAGATTATCTTCTCAAGTGCTCATCTCTCATTTGGAGTGCTACAGGATTCCATCCTTGGTCCCTCCAACTTGGCATCACCTCTCTTCCCACTGCCATGCAGATGACCTTCAGATTCATCTGTCTTTAAAACCTGGTAACAGTGACATTTACACCCCCTCCTCTTTCTCCCCGATGAACCAGTACTTAAGCCAATGTTTCGCTTTTTTATATTACAAAAACCAATTGCACTTTGCTTTGACATGATGACATTGTTGAACTTGTGGAGCCAAGGCTCTAAATCATAAATTTAGAGACAGTGTAACAAATGGATGTTTTATTTGTATTTTTTATTTTTTTTTACAATGATTTTGAATACAGCACAGATGTTGATTCTGTGCAGAAATGTATTTTTCATCATCTTCATTGGTATTTGGTGTTAAAGGGCCTTATTCACATATTATGACTTAATAAGATTCTGCACTAATAGCTTACTCTGGTTCCATATACAGTGGCAACTATTAAAAATTGCCCTCCCCAGTCAAACGCCAGCTGAATGGCAGCCAACTTCCAGCCACTGGAGTTACCTCCTCCTTCTCTTGGGCGTGCATATTTTTTTACTCTTACTCCACCCTTTTGCTCAATTACAGGGTCTGACCATGAGAAGTTGCTTCTCTTTAGATCTTAATGTCCACAAATCATGACAGAAAGAATATTTCAGCACAAAGATTGATGTTTAAAAAGGGAATCTTAGGGGAAAAGCCAAGGGCCCATCAAGGAAAGTTTGGAAATTTTGAATGGCTACTACTGTAAGGCTCTGTGATTAAATTGTGGCACCCTGGACACCTGATGTATTTCATTACTCTAAATTTTACAGTTTTTCTTAATTTTTTTAAGTAAACTTGAGTGTTTTGAGTATTTATCACTACAAAATTCTGTGACATGAGGTACAAAATTAAGAATCTATGCAATAAGTTAACAAGGAAGTAATTGACCAAAGTTACTCCAAGTAAAGTTGTGAAGAAAGGAGGAAAAATCAAACACTGTAGTAAAAATGAAATAAAATATTGGATGCTGCCAAAGTTGAGGTTTTTGGATGCTTAAGCAGCATCCAACAGCATGCAGTTTATATCAGCTGATTACACCTGGTGCAAAAATCACAGAGGACCAACTGAACAGTCAGCTAGAACGATGCTGTATATTGTTTTTTTTTTTTTTGTTTTTTTTTTATAAGCATAGTACATATGTAGGAACATTAAACTTTTTTGAACTGTGCTGATATTAAGAATGCTTTACACAATTATATTAGCCCAAGAATTTATTACTGTCATTCTCTGCATGGCCGTTTCTCTCATCAGGCTTAAGGTGGTTCAAAATGTTGCAGCAAATATATACTAACAGCTCAAGTCATCAGCATATCATCCCATAATATTCTCTCTTCAGTGGATGTCTGTCCTTTTCAGAATGGATTTTATGTCTTAATTGTTGTTTTTTTTTTTTTTTTTTTGTTTTTTTTTATTCAACTCTAAAGGGTTTGGCATACAGTCTTTCTAATTCATGTATTTCTTTGTCAAGTTGGGGATCCCTGATATCCTTGTCTGAGTTTTTCTGGAATGCTCCATGAAAATTGAGAGCCTATGTCTTTCAGTTGCTGCAACCAGCTCCATATGGATCTTCTCTCCCTCATTGACCTTGGCTTATAAAAATACAAAGACAGACTAAGACCCTTTTATATGGAAAGGCATCCGGATGCTTAGTAACACATTGGCATCCTATTCCAGATTTTTTACTTTTATTTATTATTTTATTTGTTTTATATGTATTGTTTTTTTTAGGGATTTTATCGTAAAACATTTTGGCTGTTTTATTAGCTTTTTAAAAGGGATATTAAATCCACAAAGAAAATTAAGGAATAACTTTTTCTGAGGTAGCTTCTAAACCAGCCTTAACAATGACTAAATCAAGTTCCGATGTAGGTCAAAAAGAACTTTTTGAATTGAAAAGACCTTTGACCCCTTTAACTAGCAGAAAGCAAAGGCAGCCTCGCGTAATTTGCTCGAGTTGTCATTATAGAGCAGTCTTTTACTTAATGAGAAGTAAGATTTGTTCCTATGCAGACGTAGCCTTTTAAAGACGTGTAGCTCTGCTCACAAACCGAGCTGAAGTTGTTTAGAGGTTTGGCTGAAAGAAAATAAATGACCTGTTTTGCAGAAGCCCATCCAGAATGAACTGCCAGCTCCAGGGAAACAACAGCACAAGGACAGACCTATCAATAGTGGAGACAAAGCAATACTCAAAAGGAAAAAGAGGCACCATCCCCATATTAGTGTTCTGCAAGTCCATGCATCAAAAAAGCTAATTCAGTTTACTCATGTTAGAACAGCATTATTTCAAGTTCACCTCTTCAACATCTTAGAGCTACTGTTACAAACTTCAAAAACAATTTCTTTAACTTAAAGCTGGTAGATGAGGTCAGTCATCACATGTAAAACATGTTTTAATTATAATTCTTAACACAAGAGTAACATAAAAAACTTTTGCAATAACATAAAAAAGGAATAACAGAAAAACATTACCTATATATAAAAGCCAGCCAACATTTAATCTATCTTTGTAAAATGTAGGCATATAAAAGAAAAAAAAAGAACTAAAATGCAAAGTAACAAAACAAATGCCAAGCTGGAAAATTATCAGTCAGGCTTTAGGCTTTCTTAGAAAGTTTTAGTAAGAAAAAGTTTAACTTTGGATTTATGTAGGAGGCAATGATTTCTATGTATCTCGGTTTCTCTCATTTTCTCAGGTTTAAGAACAAATGTTGTCCACATAACTTTTGAGAAAACAAAACCAAGGTAGGCAGTATATGAAAAGGTAGCTGCCATCTAAGCCTTATCATCTTTTACCCAAAACCTCGCTGCCATCAAGTATTTATTTAGGGGGAACTTTCGTCCAGCTGTTTTTGCACGACCAAATGAATCTGTAGATTAAAGCTGGAACGTTATTCGCCTGACAGGTGACATCAGTTGTGTTTCATTTTTGACTTTGTTTAGGTCACTTAAGTCTCATAGGTCCACAGCAGATATGCTGTCTTTAGAACTCATCCATTCTTACAATTTTTACTTTATGATGAATCATGAACACTTAATGTTCGGTAAGGTCTTCAGTGAAGGAGTTCATCCTTCATCCTTCTTCTCTGACCTTCTGGATGAGTCAGTTTACTGACCAAATTTTAACTCTGTATACCAGCTACTCCTGGACTGCTTTACCACTGTTCCATATCCAGTCCATTTGGAGATTATTGACTCTCACGGTTTCAGGGATTCCTGCATTTTCAAAAACCTTTACATACCCTGTCCTATAGGCTTTTTAATCTTTCTCAGACTAATATTATTAACTTAATTTCACATTTCAGCTTGAATCTTTTGAATATCTATCTATCTATCTATCTATCTATCTATCTATCTATCTATCTATCTATCTATCTATCTATCTATCTATCTATCTATCTATCTATCTATCTATCTATCTATCTATCTATCTATCTATCTATCTATCTATCTATCTATCAAGCTAGCTATCTAACTATTTATCTATCTATCAAGCTAGCTATCTATCTATCTAAATCTAGCTATTCTATCTAGCTAGCTAGATCTAGCAAGCTATCTATCTAGATCTAGCTAGCTAGATCTATCTATCAAGCTAGCTCTATCTATCTATCTATCTATCTATCTATCTATCTATCTATCTATCTATCTATCTATCTATCTATCTATCTATCTATCTATCTATCTATCTATCTATCTATCTATCTAGCTATCTTTGTTAAAAGCCTACATTTTTATACAAAAAGTTTGCTTGATTGATTCTGCAGCTCTTTGTTGTTTCGTGCTTGTGGTTCATAAATTGTAGCTAAACGGAGATGTTAAATAAAAATAAAATTCATACTATTTCTAAAAGTTCGGTTAGCTTTTTCAATTTCAAATGACTGTCAGCATTTCACGCAGATTCTTCTCATTTTTATATATTTAACCATGTTGGATTTTTTCCATATATATAAAAAAAAATTACAATTGTTCTTTCAGGATAAAAATGAAAACCATATTTATTTCCAGTTTCCAGTTTATTCCAGTTTATTTGTATAGCGCCAGTTCACAACACATGTCAATCCAGTGAGGAGATGTGGAATAATTGTTTGAATAATTCTTGATTTACAAAGAAGTGTAGGTTAAATGTGGCCATAAGTAACATTAAGATCCAAAAGTAAAACTCTGACTTTATCTTTTTTTTTTTCCTTCTATAGTTCCAGATGATGTTTTTGCTCCTAACTACGTATGGAAGGGTTCCTACAATTACCGCGGTAGGAAGCAGCCGATGACGCTCAGCATCACCAGCTTCAACTCCACGACAGGGAGAGTGAATGTGACACTCAGCAATGGCAACCTGGAACTGCTCCTGTCAGGCATGTTTTATCATTGCTCAACTTTAAGCACTCCATTAATACCTTTATAAGGAGATCTATACACTGTGATGGTGATATGCGACGACAATACATCAAGTTTATGATACAGTGCTGCATGGCTGCTGTACTGATTCATCGGTAATACAGTAAACATACACTCAGACATTAAATGTGGTATTGAACTCCTAGTAGCAACACTTCTACTCATTCGTGCCGCTTTGTAATGGTGGATTATAGCTGTGTCTCTCCAATACATTGTAAATATATACACTCACATGCAGAGTTCTCAGAGTTCCTTAATAGTGCCATTCGGGGATTGAGACTCTAATGTTACATCAATCACATTGAAGCTTGAATTAGTTCCCAAAGTTGCAAGGAGCAACAAAAACTATATCTGAAAACTGGGCTGCAATCACGTTTTATTGTCCGTCATCTCGCTCAAAGGCACAGCTTTAGATCAATAAGGCTAAAGCTGCACTTTCATCACCACGACCAAGTTGCAGATGCTTAAAACCTGCATGTTTTCCCCAAGCCGTGCTCTTTAGGCCGCTGATCATCATTATGAATATAAATAACACGTCTGCAAGCACAGTGTAATGCTGGAATCTAAATACGCTGACACATTTGCAGTACTGCTTAGCATAAAGACTAGAGTTATGGGGAAACAGGCGTCTCTGCTTAAGATGAAAAACATTCCAACCAACACCTCCTAAGCTGTCTTATTGATGGCATATATCACAATAATGATGTGTGATATTACTGTACATGCACATTTTGTCTAAATATGCTGTCAAATTTCCCCTGGGTCCCCCCTATTTCTTTTTAATCAATGTTAATTTATTTTACAACTGTATCTGAGATGTTCTTCTCTTTTTATGTCCATATAAAACACCTCTCTGCAGTTAAACAGGGAAGCTACACGTATTTTATTAAAGCTCCAGGGAAAACACATGCTGATCCATTTAATGATTTACAAGCAAGATGTTAAATTCCCTCTCATACATCTCTTTTCTCTTCTTTTTTGTCTTTTTCTTTTGCCTTTTTAGGAGTTTATAAGGCTTCAGAGGCTAGACTGTTGCTTCTGATGTATCAGGTGAACTATGTAAACCAGGGAAACCAATTGAAAGATTCAGCTATCTCTCCTGCCAAGATCATGGAGGACTCCTGGACTATGGATGGATATGTAAGTCTAATATATGCCATTTTGATAGATGTTTGGCAAGTATGTATTTACATTAGTCTTTACCGCATGTATCATGCCACTGCATAACTGGATACATAGATGCATGGTTTGATAATATTATAATATAATATAACCAAATTTAATCAACACTAAACAAATTTTAAATTGGGGGGGGGGTGAGCAAAATACAGAGAAAAGGATCACTCAGAGCAAAACAAACAGAACGAAAAAGTATTTAGGGTGCGTAAACCCCTCGCTGCTTCTCACCTCTTTCCCACTGAAAATAGCATCATGTGGTGGGGGTGTGTCAGCAGTTGCTGCAAGAGGAAGGCATTGAAGCAATGGACTGGTCCACCCATTACCCAGACCTGAATCTGAGCACATCTGGGACATCTTGTCTCGATCCATCCACCAATGTCACGTTTATTCACACTGTCCAGGAGTTGGTGGATGCTTTAGTCCGCCACCTCATCAGGAGTATGGCCCAGGCATTGTAGGGAGATCATACAGGCATGTAACCTTGCGCTGCAAGCTGGATTTTCACGAGATCTGAGTTTTCAGTCTCTCAACAAATCCATTTGGCAAGAATCCCGCTAATACCTCCATCTTGTAACAACCAGAGAGTCGGAGCAACGACATGCTAGCAGTGTTTTCCGGGGCGGGACATGTAGGAATGACCACAGTCAGAAGGGCCTTGCCCGTGTTCTGTCAGATTAGCACACCCCATCAGACCAGCATACTCACGGTCAATAAGCATGCACGAGACGTCAGATTTGCAAATGCGTATGCTAGTTCTGTTTATTCCTTTAGTTTATCCCCCTTTATCCCCTTTATCATGTACAAAAAAACTATTTAAGGTCAGATTGCCATTGCTTAAAAAAAACCACAAAAACGTAAGTAATTGAATTGTTTTTTTGTACATGACTTAAGGCAGTGGTTCCCAAAGATTTTCTTCTGGGCCCCCCTTTGGATTACAATAAAATTTCCACGCCCCCCCCCCCCCCCCCCCCCCCCCCCCAAAAAAAAAATAAAATCAACTGGGCACACACATCGTTCAACCAGATATAATAAATCTATACACATATTTTGTTTTCAAACTCCACTGAAGTTTATTTCACACTTCAGGTTGCAACAAAACAAACTACACCATCTTTACAGTGGAACACTTTTGTGTAACTGTATTTTTTTAATAGTTCTATACTGTAGATTAGAAGAGGATTCTTTGTTGTCTGTGTTATTTTAAACATATTTCTTTTTTTTATTTGTAACAATATTTAACTTTGCTATAATCTATACATTAAAAAAGCCTCTGTGCAAAATGGAGTGAAAACATTTAACAGCTCCCTGAGAGTTTTTTCTTTGTACTTTATTCCTCCCATCTTTTCAGTGGCTGTAGTGAGCCTGCTTTTTGCTGTAGATCTTCTCAAATCTGGGTTGCAGTGTCACAACTGTCCATTATGCTCAGTCAAGCAAGCGCTTTTTTTTTTTTTTTTTTCTTCATTCATCCATACCGCTTCCCGCGCCCCCCCTGCAATGGCATTGCGCCCCCCCTAGGGGGCGCGCCCCACACTTTGGGAACCACTGACTTAAGGGATACACACCCATTGAGGAGGTTTAAAGTGTTACATACAAAACTAAAGGGATAAATGGGTATTGACCATGGGTGTACTATGGTTGACAGAAGACTGGAACATTACGAAAATGGCTACGCTGCAGTACTCACGTCTCGATAACGGAAATGACTTGGTTTTAGCTAAAATAGCAAAAAAATTTTCATATTATAAAAGGAGCAAAGAGCTGCACTTTGTACATTTGTACAAAGTGTGATAAGTCAAACTTAGAAAAAGTTTGATTTATCAGCTTACTCAGCTAGTAGTGTAAACACTCAAGAAGCTGCAGACAAAACCAATTGTGATTAACATAAAACTTCACGAATTGCTGCTACGATTGGCTGAAAGTGTCTTATGGACGCAGGTACTAGCTGGCACCCAATCAGCTCGAAATATTGTACTAAACATCCCTCCATTTCACGGACAGACTGGACGGTGGGCATCGCAGGTTACTGCCAGTTTAACAGGCACATGGAGGCCACAAATAATACTGAGCCTCATTTTAACCTGTTTTAATGAAATTATGACAGTTGGATCAGCCTGTAGTTTGTTTTTCTACTTTAATTTTGTGTTTGACTCCAAATACAGACCTTTATTGGTTAATGCATTTGATTTCCATTGATGATTATTTTGTTTGATTTTGTTCATTCATCTTAATCCTTAATCTTAAGCCTTAATCTCAGCTTCCTGTCTCTCCTGCATTGATAATAATGCCAATATCATGTAAAGCCATTACTGTCAACTCTGCTGATTGCAATCTTCTACAATTGCTATAGTTAAAAACCAGTAGCTGCCCAAAGATAAAGGAACTTTGGAAACATATTATTGAATTAATCTCAAGGGTGATAGGAATTCAAATTTAACAGGACCCAAAACTATTGTCTGTTAACGTGACCCATTATATGAAACTTTTTATTTGACCTAAAAGACCTGCAGTGAAAAAGTGCATTTAGTATGACTTGAAATTTGAAAAATTAATCAAAACACGACACTGTATATGTCAAAGATTAATATCAAACTTGAATGTATGCAATTTTTTTATGTAGCATACTGTAATGCTATTTCCAGTGACTTATTAATATTATTTTAGAGTGTGGGTATCAATATGGGGAAACCAAGATTTTAACCAAATATTCTTGCTAATCTTTCACATATTCAGGATTCTGGTGACCACTAAGTCCCAGTTTTGTAATATGTATTTAATTGAAATCATAAAAAATAAATAAATAAATAAAAATCAGAATTTTTTTGTATATTTTTAGTGTTATCTAAAAGATTAAAATCTTAAAATGATTTAAAGTTGTATCTTTCAGAGCAGGACAAAAATGTCTTCAAGAATTTATGAATAAAAATGTCTGACTTATGACACACATGTATACGATATAGGTAAGATTTTCTCGTATATCCCCAAAGACATGTTTTAATATGTGGCAAATGTGGTAGCTCATATACTGTTGCATCTCTTCAGTTATGAGGCTTTTATAGTGGTATGCCTTGATTTCCATATATTTAAGAAAAAAGATCACTAGAAACGTATTACAAAATTAAATGCTGTTTTTTTGCCTGCATTTTCCTCAATTATATGTTTTTTAGCTCTCATATATAATTGAGAGGGTTTTTTTTAATTCAAGGCTAAAATTCCATTCTTATTCATTTACAGATATGGTCACAGTTTTTACTTTTACTCAGCTGACAAATTTTATTTAATTTGTGGTGGCAGAGTGGAGAAAAAAAAAGAAATAAAACTAACATAGTTTACTTTAGCACTTACGTTCATTTCTGTTGAAAGCAATATTAATATTTTAGGCATCAATACTTTTGCAACCATTCCACAACTTACATTTCTATCCTGTGATCTCCCCAGGTATCAGCAGAGCCTGATGGATCTACCTACGTATTCCAGGGTTTCATTCAGGGAAAAGACTATGGACAATTCGGACTTCAAAGACTGGGTATTTCTCTCTTAGGTTCAGAAGCATCAAATGAAAAAAAAAAAAAATATATATATATATATATATATATATATATATATATATATATATATATATATATATATATATATATATATATATATATATATATATATTTTTTTTTTTTTTTTCTTTTTTTTTTTTTTTTTTTTTTTTTTTAAGATTGGAAACAGCTAAAAATAATGTAAAGGCTTCTTAAATGACATCTTCATACAAATCTTAAAAACCGCTGGTTCGGTCTAATTGTCCATTTACTGTAATTTCATTGCAAGGATTGCAGAAGATGCAGTGCATTGCAAAAACACTAATGCTGTATGCCTTTGATAGGGTTTTTTTGTATTTTGCCAGATGATGTCTGAAACATATACACTATATTGCCAAAAGTATTTGCTCACCCATCCAAATTATTGGAATCAGGTGTTCCAATCACTTCCATGGCCACAGGTGTATAAATTCAAGCACCTAGGCATGCAGACTGTTTTTACAAACATTTGTGAAAGAATGGGTCGCTCTCAGGAGCTCAGTGAATTCCAGCGTGGAACTGTGATAGGATGCCACCTGTGCAACAAATCCAGTCGTGAAATTTCCTCGCTCCTAAATATTCCACAGTCAACTGTCAGCTGTATTATAAGAAAATGGAAGTGTTTGGGAACGACAGCAACTCAGCCACGAAGTTGTAGGCCACGTAAACTGACGGAGCGGGGTCAGCGGATGCTGACGCGCATAGTGCGAAGAGGTCGCCAACTTTCTGCAGAGTCAATCACTACAGACCTCCAAACTTCATGTGGCCTTCAGATTAGCTCAAGAACAGTGCGCAGAGAGCTTCATGGAATGGGTTTCCATGGTCGAGCAGCTGCATCCAAGCCATACATCACCAAGTGCAATGCAAAGCGTCGGATGCGGTGGTGTAAAGCACGCCGCCACTGGACTCTAGAGCAGTGGAGACGCGTTCTCTGGAGTGACGAATCGCGCTTCTCCATCTGGCAATCTGATGGACGGGTCTGGGTTTGGCGGTTGCCAGGAGAACGGTACTTGTCTGACTGCATTGTGCCAAGTGTAAAGTTTGGTGGAGGGGGGATTATGGTGTGGGGTTGTTTTTCAGGAGCTGGGCTTGGCCCCTTAGTTCCAGTGAAAGGAACTCTGAATGCTTCAGCATACCAAGACATTTTGGACAATTCCATGCTCCCAACTTTGTGGGAACAGTTTGGAGCTGGCCCCTTCCTCTTCCAACATGACTGTGCACCAGTGCACAAAGCAAGGTCCATAAAGACATGGATGACAGAGTCTGGTGTGGATGAACTTGACTGGCCTGCACAGAGTCCTGACCTCAACCCGATAGAACACCTTTGGGATGAATTAGAGCGGAGACTGAGAGCCAGGCCTTCTCGTCCAACATCAGTGTGCGACCTCACAAATGCGCTTCTGGAAGAATGGTCAAAAATTCCCATAAACACACTCCTAAACCTTGTGGACAGCCTTCCCAGAAGAGTTGAAGCTGTTCTAGCTGCAAAGGGTGGACCGACGTCATATTGAACCCTATGGATTAGGAACGGGATGTCACTTAAGCTCATATGTGAGTCAAGGCAGGTGAGCAAATACTTTTGGCAATATAGTGTATGTTCTTTATTTGGATTGTAAATGGCTGGCGTTTACTAAAAGACTTACAGATTGAAATTTAACAAAAGATGCTATGTTTCATTGATTTGGTTTCCTTTTGTATCAAAATCTGAATACAGATTGATTCTTCTATGTTTCATAATAGGGATTGTGTGATGAGGTTAATATGTGCTTTGTTTTCTGCCACACATAATTTGGCATGTAGACCAACAAGTTTAATTTTGTGTTGTTTGGTCTCCTGCACAGTTTGGATAGTAACAGTAAAGCTGTCTTATCTGTTGCAGGTCTGAACATGTCAGAGAGTCAAAACTTGACACCCCCACAGCTTGGTACAAACAGCAGTTCTGTGGCTATTGCTATTCTGGTGCCTTTCTTCGCGCTGATCTTTACCGGCTTTGGATTTTATCTCTACAAACAGAGGTATGACCGAAAAAGCAAAACAAAACCAGCAAACATAATAAAAGGTCTATCTCAAACCCCTTTGAACACAATGCTCCTGTTTGTGAATAAGTCCTTTTGCTCTTTTGTTCTGTAAGGTAAGAAACGAAAAAAATTTTTTTTTGGGATCATTAACATTTTAAGAAGATGTCTAATTTGCTAAGAACAACCCCTGCTTCAACGGTTTGATTGTTAAGGCGCTATGAGAAGACTAAGTCACTGTCTGTTGCAAAACAATTCTTGTTTAAAAAGTGCGAAATTGGATTTTTCCACACAAGGTTTAAACAGAACTGACTGGTGTTAAGGTTGATAACAGATGGAGATAACGTCTGTTCTGCTGGAGAAAACTAAACAGACTAACTTGGAGAAAAAATATGTACCTGCTAAAAGAGTTCGCTTTGGGTAGATGATTTGGAATCTCTTTACACTTTGCTTACTGAAAAGCACAAGACATTTCTTCGGATGGCCAACAAAGTCTCTTGGTATCAGAGGCTGCATCCCCTACTGTCTGTTTGCTAATTATCTACAGTAAGAGATATTATCGTCTATAAGGGTTTGTCATGGGATCTCAGAATAACATATTATCATGTACAAAACACAGTGTTCAAAGTAATAGCAGTGTCCTTTAGAAAGTAAATTAAGCTATTAAAATATATTATATTGTCCATATGAGCTAACGCAAAAAATAAAAAATATGGCATTTATTGAAAATCTACAATGAAGGGAAAATAAAAATTTGGCCGTTTAAAAAAATATGTAAAAAGACACTTCAGTACCTGATTTTTTTCTATTTAAATTAAAACATTTCCTAGATGGAAATGGATAAACTTAAAATTGCTGGAAGGTTTAGTTTTCCTACACTGCAAAAACAATCTAGAAATAAATAAAACTTTCTTAAGATAAGTGTATTTCCCTTTAAATTGTGTAGTTAAATAAGATGATTTGCCAATTGAATAAGTAGTTTTACTCTTAAAATAAGATAATTAGATAATATGTACTTGAAATACGACAACACTTTTTTTTTTATTTAAGATGTAAATTATGTTGGCAAAGTATGTTAACCTAATTAATTCAAGAAAAAATGCCCTTGTTTTAATAAAGTAAATGATTTATCTAGTTTTCAATTTTTGCAGTGTATAAATTGCTAAACTGTTATCACCTCTGCAATGCAAAAAAAAACAAGCTAGATATAAGTAAAAAATGTCTTAAATTAAGTGTATTCACCGTTAATTTTAGTAGGTAAATAAGATGATTTGCCAATTGAATGAGTATTTTTACTCTTAAAATAAGTTAAAAACAGGCACTAAATTGTCCATTGGCAAACAGTCTCACTTTTCTCATCCATTCAAGAAAAAATGCGCTGATTTTAAGAAAAAAAATACTCAGATTTCAACTTTTTCCAGAGTAGGATGCAGAGAGTCAACAAAAATTTTTGGTTTTCATGAGCCAGTATTCCAGCGCAGGATTTGCTAAACATTTTTTGGTTTTGCCTAATAAGCGCCATATTACCCAGTTTTTTCTGTCCAATTATTTCTTATCACATGGTTATTCTCCCATCTCATTCATGGTATTAATGCTGTTGTCACTAATAGTTTTGTGGTTGATATCTTGATGAAACACTAGTTTTAAATACAGTCTCTTTGAAATTAGTCAACATAACCTTTTCAAGTGTCTAATGAATTTAAACCTTTCCATGATTATAGTTATATAATAAATATTATTTTATCTATAATTATACTATAATTCTACTCTGATTTTTATGGTAGAATACATTATAAGCTGGATCCACATTGGATGCATTCATCCCTAAATTATGGTCACCTTTTTTCCACTGAATAAATAGCCTGACTGATGACACTCTAAAATGTTATTTTAAACATGTCTTGGTTTATTGTTGTTCTGTGACTCAGCCATACCTAATAAGATTATTTCACATTGAGAAGTAAATGTCTACTAAAAACATCTCATTACAATTATAAATCAGGTAAAATGGCTATAATTTTTTTAACAGTTGCAATTTCTGAATGTTTCATAAAACAAAGTTTATTAGTTTCAACATGTAGATATATTGCCTTTATGTGATCTTTTAACATGTATTTATGTTTCATTTTTCTTTGTACTTGCAGAACCACACCAAAAACCCAGTACACAGGCTGCTCAGTGCACGAAAACAACAACGGGCAGGCTGCCTTTGAGAACCCAATGTACAACACCAATGCCAAAGCCGTCGAGGGAAAGGCTGTTAGATTTGATCCCAATCTAAATACTGTCTGCACCATGGTCTGAGGACTGAATGTCCTCAAACTTAATGACTCAAATATCCAATGGGACCACAAATGGTGCAAAGAAGGTGGAAAGGGCAAACTTTACCAAGGCCAAGCAGCATAGCGTGTACAAGAACAAGTCAACCAACCAATTCTTTCTGTTTGGAACCCAGTCCCCTCCACCCGGCAGAGTAACGGCTCTCTAGCTGAAACCAAAAGCCAGAGGCAGCCAATGCCTCAGCTTTGAACGCTTGATGAGAGAAAGGACACTAATGTGACGCAAAAAATCAGATTATATCCCCAACTCAGAGCAAGTTGATCAAATCTTCTGATCTGATTCTAAAACAGACACAAACGTGAAACATTTGAGCTGAATTCAAATCTCAATTACTGTTTCTAAGACCAACAGAGATGGCTAAGCAATGACCTGCTGGTCAGACCTCAAATGTCACTATTTCTACTTGAAGCAATGTTTTAGAGACCAGAGAAGAAGAAGTGCTCCAACTGTGATCACACTTCAGAAACTGAGGAAACTCTATCACATCACATGAAAGGATATGTTTTTAAGGACACTGTGAAAATAAACCAACAGTTTAGAAAACACTGTAAGCAGCAGGATATTGCTGAAACATTTTGACTTGTTATGGAGAAAAAAAAATTTTTTTAAGACGACAACGGAAATAAAACCCAACAGCCAGATGGAACCATCTTCATTCTCTATAACAAGCAGGCTGGTTTTACTGGTCTCTATTTTTTTCTTCTCACATAGAGTGTAAGAAAGCTAATGCTTCTAGTCAGAAGCAAAAATTGCTTTGAAAAGAGACTAACCACTAAGCAAGGGATGATGATAGGGATAGGGCATCCCTGGAGATGGAGCTGTAATCCTAACTGAGCTGGGATTAGAGCAAAGTGAAACTTACAAGGAGTCTAAAGTGGAAGAGATGTGAGACTGACTCATCTAATGGATAAAATGCTTCTAATACGGTGGAGACAGCCTCCAACTAAACTGGATACAGAGTGAGAAATTCATTAATGAAAAAAAAAAAAAATCTTACAATACTAACACAACCAATCAGAGCTTGTCTGACCAGAAGTAATGTACTGAGGAAGATCAGCCCTTCTCCTGCGGGATAAATTTGATCAGGTCGGATGGGATACGTCCTCAAAGAGAAGCTCTTTTTGAACCTGGGAATATTCCTCTAGGTTTTGATCGGGCCAAACAAGAGCCAAGGAGTTCGACTGACTCAAAGAAGAGGAAAAATGGACTTTGGGAAACAGAGAAAGCTTCAGCACTAAAGCACATTTTCCAGGGACACTACCTGTCTACTCAATGAGAGATGGACTAACACCAGGGCCAGAAAGGTCCTGTGATTTTTTTTTTCCAATCTGTCTCTACTCCAAGAAATAAGCAGGAGGCTTTCAAATAGAGAGACAGGTACAGGTTTGCAGACGGGAGTCATAAACTATTTGACAGGCTAAGAAAGACAGGGTTTTCAGCCGACATCTGTGGACAGCGTTCCACGTGATCCTGCACTCTGAGAGTGCTTAACTTCTTTCTTTGTTACAGCTGCAGAATCTTCTGATCTGTAAAAATCTATTGCATATATATTCGGGGAGCGTTCACCACCTATATTTTTGTGCTATATATTTACCACAAAGGGATGGTAAGTGGTGAGTGGGGGGCAGATTATAAAAGAGTTTTTAGAAAAAGAAAAATTATCAGAGTATAAGACATTACAGCTATATGCTTTTCACGTGCGCCCACAGATGGTACTTTTGATACCACTGCAACATGCGGTTTAATGATTTGAATTTCATGTATAGCATGGAATTTTCCCCCTCACCATCACTGTCTGTCTCACTGAGGCAATCCTAGTCAGTGGTATTGTTGTAATCATTATCACAATGCAAGGTTTACCAGAAACAATTACACCCTATACTCACTGGTAGAAGTATAAAAACTCAAAAATAGAGACATACCTTGCACTTTGTTGGCTTCCAGTAATAAAATTAAATTTCAAACAGTTCTTTCTCACGTAACAGTAAAGGTAACCGAAGTCCAAACACATTTGAACAGGATCTAACCTTCTGTGTGACCAGCTACAGTATATAAAGCGTTGTAAAAAAAAAAATTTTGGACACTTTTACATTTCTTCTTATTTCTTCTATTTTTATGTTGCATAGCCATTTCTCAGACACAACTCATTTTGAGTAACAGATAAGATTTATTTGAATTGATTGGAAAAAAAAAAGCAGTTTTCAAATGATTTTGGGTAAAAACCTATCCACACCAGCCTCAATGAGTGTGAAAATGAATTGCCCCCTAAACCTAAAAAAAACGTTCCATTGTTGGTGGAACAGCTGCCATCCAGTCACCAGTGAGTCTTTTGCTTTGCTGTAGATAAATGTTGTCCCACTCATATTTTTTGTTCTCTTTAAATTAAGCCACATTGTAGTTTTTTAACCACCTCTTGAGTTCACATCTTGGTATCTGAAGGGGATTTACCTCTGGACGTTGATTTAATGCGTCCAAAATCTATTTTTTCAGCCATCCATATTTAAATTTGTCCTTAGTCTGCTTGAGCTGAAGTCCACGCTTGATATACCAGCTACTGTTTGTTTTGCAGCAGAGCTAAATTCTTCAAGCAATTACAAAAGTAACAATTTAAAACTCTGTATTTTGCTGTCACAAATATCATAACATAAAATATTATTTTTCTAATTTGCAGGGCTTTAGACCTTTCTTTTAATTACTTAAACCATTATTTAAAAACTGATTTTTTAAATTTCCTCTTTGTTTTTGTTTAATCTATTATCAAGATTTGTTTGAGGATCAAAAACACTTTAGTGTTGATGAAAAGCAAAATCAAATTAAATATGAATTTCAAATGGATGGTAATCATAGAACTGAAACTTAGGTTTATTTCCATTCCCAATTGGGCAGGCATCTTGGTGATGATTGCTGGTTACTTGCATTGTGTTTACTCTGTATATGATGGTAAAAACTTGTGTTGTACATTGACATTGTTTTGTTCTTGTTTGTTGTTACGTGTCAAATACTGAGGAGTCGACAAAATCTCCAGAGTTATTGAAAGGATTCTCAAAACAGATAAGAAAGGAAACTATTATCCAACCTGTTGTCTACAGCTGCCTCCATACTGATTGTGTAAAAAGCCTTAATATAAATGAACCTTTATTAAAATAGCATAATCTCTCACTGTTATTAGAAAAAAAGTTTGTTAATTGAATGTGGGGGTAAAAAATACACAAAAGAATATTTTCTTTTTTTAAATCAGTGGTGCTACACTTATTGGCTTCCTGCTGTTTACTACGTCATAATACTTTTAATTTTTTTTGGCCATAGGGACCAACTTTTCCTGGAAAGTGTCACGTTTTTTGAATAGACAAGGAGTTCAATCTAGGCTTTCCACAGACTTTGTGTCTCCACTGAGATGGCTATAGGTGAAGCTGAACTGTATAAATGTTAAAGCATTTTTTTCATGTTAAAGTTTTTCCTAATTAATGGCACAATGATGTGTCCTTCTCAGTTTTTCTCTCCTGCTTTCTCAAACGGTAAGTTATGCTGCGTAGTCAACAAGGTTTCCAGAAACAGCATAATACTTCTCCCACCTTACTTTATTACCTGCCACAAATCCCTACTTTAATTTATGACGGAATTTTGTTTGACTTTTTATTGCTTTGCTTCATCTGTGTAACTTTTATAATTTCTTTTTTTTAAATAACGGGATAGAATGTACTTAGCTCTCATAATTAAAATCCAAATCAGATGCTCTAATTCCTTTTATATTCTGGCCATTATTAGGAATTTAACTATATAGTTTTTCTTGAAATTATGCTACTTGCTGTAAACCAAAATCTATTCGATCATGGTTTAGATGTGTAAGTTAGCAGTGCCAATAAGTGTAAATGCCACAGTACCAATATGATTACACAGGTGAAAAGACATAAAACTATTATTAAAAATGTTATTATTATTCAGTTAATAATCCACATGGCTTCACATATCCCAAATAAACAAGTTGACAAAAGGTTTTTAGTTCTGAACTTTCAGTGTTCTGATATGTTGGATGTTCTATAAACTTATTTTATTCATCTGCAGTAAATCAGCGAAAACGAATTTAAACTTCAAAGTGTGTTGTCTTGGAAACATTAGAATGCTACATCCACTTTTTATCCAAATAGCAACTATCATAAAGTTCATAAAGGTCAGTTCTGATTCCAAATTGACTAACAACTTAACATTCTGCAGCTTTGATCTGCACCCCCACCCCCTCCATAAAAAAAGACTGTGTTTTGAGGAATCTGCGGATCAAGCCTCAGATGATAAATACATGTGTGCGTTTTAATGAGCCTGGGTGTCAGGGAGCATGAAAACATCTACTCTGTTTTTAACACCCCCACTGCTGTGACCACAGGTGCCAGCTGCCACCAGCCAGCACAAAATTCCTCTTAAAGTCATCACTGATTTAAAAGCTGCAGTATAGCTGTGGCTTACTTGTTTACTCACACAGCAACCGTCCTCAACTGCACCACAGTGGTGATTTTATTTATTTTCATTACGATTCAAACTATCATTGCTGCTCTACTTGTTTTTGCTCCTATCTTTGGTAAGAATCTGACTCAGTGCCTATCCAAAAGAAAAACGACAACAAAAAAAAGTCATGTGACCCTTTCTGCTGTCAATTCTATGCTTTTTCACATGGACACAGGTACCTGTACACCTTTCATGCTAACCCACTGACTCCAACCATCTCCCTTTCTCTTCAACAAGGCTATGTTTGTTTTTCTAAGCTTCAATCTGTTTTGCCATAAGCTGTTCCTAGAGACTGAGCGCAATAACATCCATGTGATTTAAAAGACTTATAGCAGTTCCTGCCTGGGGACACTGGAAATATTTACCGTTTGAGAAAAAAAAGAGAAAATATAGAATAAAAAAGTGTTTTGTACAGAAATATATTTTTATGAGGAAATTATTTGTAAAATGTATGAATCTATTATGTAAATTTTCAATGCAATGTAAAATTAAAAAAGGCTAATTGCTTTTGTAAAAAAAAGTGTGTGTTTCTATTTTGATTTTTCTTCAATTTAACTGGTTTCGCTGAGAAACTTTGAGTATTTTCAAAAATGAAAATGAAAAACAATCCAATGGACTTTGTTTCAAATTTTAAGACGTTTTGCTTCCCATCCAGGAAGCTTTTTCAATTAAAAAATAGTTCAGGGGATTGTTTTTAATTTTCTATTTTTTTGGAATGTCTATGACCTGGATGACTGAGAATCTTCACCAGCATTTTGAGTGTTTTCATGTAATTTTAAATCAGTTTATTCTTGCAGCACCAGGTTCACTGTACATGTAATCTGAGCACAAATTGGCCTACTTATATGGAGAAAATTGGTCAAAATTTTATTCAAATAAATCTAATGTACTCCAATAGGATCTTTCAACATTATTTAATGCAGTTTTCCCAATTTATTAAACCAAATCATAATAGATTCAGACTTAGGTGCCAATTTATTGCTACTTTGTAAAATAAATCTACAAGAGAAGCAAGAGTAGAAGCAGCCGTCTACCATAACAAGCTGGCATTTGACAGACAGGAAGAAGAAACATAAAGTTAACAGTACACATTGATAGTTGAATCTTCTGGAGCATTATGGTTTGGTGATTTTGTTGCTTTAGTAGAGACTGAGAAGCTGACTGATTATAGTAAGAAGTAGAAATAGAAATTACCTTTATTATAACAACCTTGAAATTCAAATGTTCCAGCAGCAAGTGGAAAGCAAACGGAAGCCTTTGCAGATGCATGCAAGCTTTAAGAATAATAATAATAATAGGAGACAGGTGCAGTAAGGGGAATTTGTAACATAGGAGGAAATACAAATAGTAGTGGTTGTTGAAAATAGCATATTAAAGAAAATGAAGGGTAGGATGACAAAACATATTTGTATATCTATGGTAAATGGCCTCTTTTCATATAGTGTGTATTAAGTCTGAGAACCTTGAAGGGATTCATACTATATTAAGTCATTCACCATCTCACACACACGTTAATACAATGATAGTACAGTAAAAGGTAGATTGTAGCCACCTTGGGACAGGCTGCCATACAGTACAATGGACATGGAGGCCTCTGTCTACCAGCAGCAGAACATGAAACACAGAAAATCCAATAACAAGAAATAAAGTGTTCCAAAATAGCACATTTATAACTTGTTTATAAGAGAAAGAGTTTGCTTGGTGCAGCAATCCCTATAATGGATAATGTTGTGTGGAATAAGGATCTGTGATAATGCTCCTTTGTGCACTAAGGTGTAAAAGTCGGACAATATAAGGAACTTTCCAGTTCTGACGCAGTTTCATGCATGGGGTTTGAGATATTGCCCAACAGAGATTCTTTTTATTTTCCATTTTTCTTTTTTAGAGTCCTTACCACCATTAACCTGACTCCGTCAGATGGATTTGCTCCGCATATCCATCTGGAAACCTTCCGTTGCAGTAATTTTGGGAAGGGGCGAAAATACTGGTTAGCTGATTGGCCTATGTTGGTGATAGACGGGCCAAATAAACCAATCAAATCAACGAAGCATATGACGTACTAACAGACCGACGATGAAAACACAACCACAAGCCAGGCTACTCTTGCCGAAACCAGTCGGGAGAAGAGCAAAAACATATTTTCCTCTGAGAAAAGCCTCCAGAGCAGTGTTTTGCTCTTCTTTCAGTGAAGAAATACTCTGTAATTCTGATAAAACTTGCTCGATAGCCACGCTAATGCTAGTTTCATCGGCTGAATCCGCCATGTTCTTTAGACTGAACTGTCGCGCTTCTCGTTGCGTCATACCTCAACCCGCCTCAAAGTCAACGCTGATTGGACGTTCATTTGGTGAACGGCTCCAAATTTTCTTCGACGGAGAGTCTCCAGACTGATCTGCGAGTGAAATCTTGAAAGCTCGCGAGATCAGGATGGTTTCACGAGGCTATAC